GGCTGCATGGCCAATTATCAGGAATATTATGTAGTAGATTTCTTACAACTGCAAGGAATCAAACTAGATGATCGTTAGCACATATTCCTGGTTATTTTTTTATTCTTTGATTAACATTTTTTATTTACTAAGATGATCAATTCTGATTGATTTTGTGGCATCAAATTGTTGTTGGCTCTTAACAACCACACAGATTGTGGTAGGGGACTGTTTCTGAGAGATGTGCATACAAAAACATGTGTGCTTCCCAGGAGGATCACATAAGTTGTGACTATATCCCACTGCCTAGTTAAAGCAAGCAGAAATCTATTCTTCGACAGCAGTGGTAAAGGGAAATGCCGGATGCAGCAAAGGCATCAATTCATACTGTATAGAATGAGGCAAAGAATCTGAAGAATTGCATGCAAAAATCACATATATAAAGTAATGGCAACGTTCCCACCTACAATAGTTCAAACTGTCCATCCAATTAGAGTTGTATATAATGTCATGTGGGGCATCTTCAGGTGATCTGTCCATTGACCTTGGCCTATTTTGATAAAGAGTAGCACCTGCCAGAAGCATAAACAAGATAAGTTTTTTCCCAATTTATACAGTTCATCTCTAAAACTCTAGTACATTTCCCACACCCACACCCCTCCCCCGTTACTATGGCAGCTGAAAGATGCAAAGCAAAGGAAAGAAATCTTGACAGACATGATATTCTTCCGATTAAAATCAGAATTCCGATTTTTGGGGGAATCACCCCCCCCCCCTTTCCCCCCTTCTTCTCCTCCTTCCCCTCCCCTCGGAGGCCCCGAGTCAGGAGTTGCTACCGCCGGCGCGGCTCCAGTCCCGCGTTGCCTCAGGAAGGGAAAGGCAAAAAGGAAGAGCCGCAGCAGCGCTTTGCAACAGCAGCAGTGGCACCGGAGGCTCAGGCTCAGCAGCTCCCGGTTTTGCCTTTCACTTCCTGAGGCAACGCGGGACTGGAGCCGCGCAGAGCCACGCCAGCGGTAGCAACGCCGGACCCCTGAGCGGAGCCCGGGTGGTGTGAGCGGAGGCCGCTGAGCGGCAGGAAAAGGGAGCTGGGCAGCCACGGACCAGCCATCTCCGTGCAACATGCCACTGCCCGGCCCTGGCGAGGGAAAGCAGCGGGTGCTTCTTGGGCGGCGGCCTCGGCCCCGCCCCCAGGGAAGCGGCTGCCCAGCTCTGGAGCTGATCCACATGTGACCGGCTGGAAAGGAAGGGTGTGTAGCATTGGTGTTGTGTGTGTGATTTCTTGGCTCACGGCACGGGGTCTCTTTTGGCCGGCCCCGATTTTTTTTTTTTTCAGAGGGGAATATCATGCCTGTGAAGGCTGACACAATGGTAAACCACTCTTGAATGTTTACAAAGAAGACTACATGGATAGATCAAATCTAGTCACATAAATGAATTATCATCTCCTTTTCAAGAACTAGTGGGGCTTGATTCTGCTTAACATCTGAATCCTGATGTGGTCAGACAGATGCTGCCACCTGCTGAAAAGGTCTTAGAAAGCTATAACTAGGCTTTAAGTGAAACTCTTTCCAAACTCAGTGAGATTCCCATGTGGGTAATGGCCTCGTTGATCTTAAAAAAATTAAATAGGATCTCATCTGGTTAGAATGTGAATCCAAGACCACTAGGTAAACCCAAGGTGGAAGGTTAGCCTGGGAAGTAAAAAAAAAATTGCACAAAAAGACATGAGCAAACAAGTTATGTAATCTTGCTAAGAAAGCTTAATGAATGTATCACCAGGATTCAACCTTGACTGAGGAATGTTTACCTTATAAGAATGAAGGGAGCTAGCTTGGTAACAAAAGTAGACATTTAGTGATACATGATGGAATTTTACAAACATTTTTGGAAAGGGATATTTGGTCTGGATTATGTTGACTGATGTAATGCTCTGTTCAAGCTGTTCATATATAAACTACACCCGATTGCATTTGGCATACAAGCAGGAGGTCAAATAGGTTCAGTTAGGTGTGGCTTGCATATTTGAAATACCGTGCCAAAGAACCTCTTAGCATCTAATTTCTTTTATACATTGTAAATGAATGAAGAAAAGGAACATTGAGTACTTGTAGTTTTATGATGTTTCAAAAACTTTTCAGAATTCTGAATCATTTTTATTTTACAGAGTATTGAATAATTTGGTAAACATTTTCAATTAAAAATCATACATACTGGGGGACTTACGGTTTAAGCTTCTTCAACGACAGACCGAAACCTCATCTCTGCGAGGCTTCGATCCGTGCTCGCCGCTGGAGCGCCCTGAGCCGGCTGGTTTCAGGGCTAAGCCACCCCCTAGAGGTGGTGAAGAGGGGGGAGACTGCCAGCAGGGTTGAGGAGAGTCGCATGTCTCCTCCTCAGCTGGCCATTACTATGCTATTTTCAAAAAAGTTTTTTTACTTGTATTTTGTATGTGTGAAAACCGAAATAAAACTTTATTTAAAAAAATACATACTGCAGCTTTATGAAACCGAGACACAGAACAGGACAACGGTATCGCCCTCCTCCCCTACATCAAAGGCACCACAGATAAAATCAGCAAAATTCTCCACAAACACAACATCAGGACAGCCTTTGGCACTGACCAAAAAATAGCCAACATCCTAAGAAACCCCAAAGAGAAGATGCAGCTAGAAAACCAAGGAGTTTATGAAATACCATGCAACAATTGCCTAGCCACATACATTGGACGAACCAACAGGAGAATAAATGCATGCATCGCAGAACACAAGAATGAAGTCAGAAAAGAAGAAAATACTTCCTCCCTTTTCCAGCACCTTAAAGCCACATGACATGAAATTAATTTTGAGGGAACCAAATTAATCTCCAATACTGAACACCTCAACAAGGGAATAATCAGGGAAGTCATCGAAATAGAGAAACACCCCCATAACATGAATAAACGAGATGATACCTCCCACCTACCAGACATTTGGAAACTAGCCCTTATCAACAAACGAGTCCCAGCCACAAAAACCAACACTGGACCCAAAACAACACATGACGCCACCACCAATCTTCCTCACCAGACTCAAACCCAAACCCACCCCATAGACGAAAGGCAACTACTGTCCAGAAACCAGACCAGCTGACCAGCTGCCACACACCCCGACTCCCAAACCAAGCAAATTGACACATGCCATGAACACATAGCCAGGCCTCAAACTCCGAGCCAAACCAAAATCCAGGACGTCACTTCACAGCCACCCCAACCAGGAACCCAGATGAAACCTAGCTTCCTAAAAAATGATAGCCGTCCATTTACTCGGAGCCAAGCTGCACTAAAAGCCTCCAATACAGAAACACAATGTTGCCAGCCAATCAAGACAAAAAAAGCCATAAAACAGAAAGAAGATATTAGAAACACCAATCAAGCAGGACACAGCAAACTCCAAGACCAATAAACACAGACCAAGACTCCCAACCAATCAAGATGTAGAAAAAAACATTCTGGCACAGCAGTAGGCTAGCCCCAAATTTAAAACTGAAACAACTGTAAAAGTCTGACTCACAGACGAACACAATACAGAAGCCTGATAATGGCAGATGAGATTCTGCTGAAACGTTGATACAACTTTAAAAGCACAACTATAATGACGTGGGAAAATACCCGAACAAAGCTGAATACCATACATTAAGTCTGAAAATGTATATTATAATAACTTTACATAAAATAGTTACTTGATTTTCTGTAACAAATCAAGGTATTTGTCTCTCTGTGTATTGCGTAAACTTCTGATAAGTGTACTTGAAGAGGACGAAATTTTAATTTCAGTAAAAGCATTTTTTATTTAAAAAAATCTTGTTTGAAACAGATTTCTTGGGCCTGTGATATGTTGGCACTATTGGCAACATGTTTTGGACTGAGGTGAAAGGATGTGACAAATCCAGTTTGATTATTTCCAGGCATATCTTGATCAAATCTTGATAAAAATGTGGAAACTTCTTTTTTTAATCTTTAGAGTTAGAAGAATTATATAGATAACTTTTTGCTGTGTATATTCTGACATATTTTTTTCTGTCACTAGATGTAAAAACACTTAAATATAGTATTTAATAATGAAGTTAAGTATGCAATAGATGAAAAACACAACAAATCAGTACTAAACATTTCAAACTGAAAACACATGACAGTTGAAGTCTTTTTTTATGAAACATTCTATTGGGTAAACATTCTGTTGGCAATATACAGCATGCTGTGAGATTATTAAATTTGCATAACTTTGTCTTAAACAGATGGTGGCAGTAGCTACTTAAATCTGAAAGAATTCTTTTTAATTTACAAATTATTAAAGAGGTCATTGGTAAGATAAGTAAAGCATTCTTAATTTTGCTCTTGAAGCTTATGTGAATGAATGATGTTTATTGCTTGATCTAAAGGTTCAGATTAGAGGCAAACTTGTATCTAGATATGAAGTTTGCATTCAGAAGTAAGATGTCAGAAATATGAAAAGTTGCTCCTAGGAACTCATGAGTCTAATGAATGCTTCATCATTTGGAAACTTGCCAGCAGGACATAGAGATAATTCTCTTTACCAGCATATTGTTTTTTGAACATAGAGCAAGCAGCCATAAGTTTTTCCTCCAGTCATACTTTTAATTTTGTTAAAAACATCTGAACCTGACTGAGGGTTATCAGAATTCATACCCTATTGAAGAGTATATAATTACTATTTTATTTCAGTTATAAAATACAACATGTAAATAATCTGTAGAGCATAGGTATCTCTTCAACAGCACACATTTCTCTTCTGTTTAGCTGATTTTGCTTACTAAGATGATTCTTTTTTGGCACCTTGTATAATGTTCTGTACTACAAAATTAACATATTATGATGGATTTTGTGTGTGTGTGTGTGTGTGTGAATGATTAGGAAGCTATTAATGATCATTTTAATATATTACAATAGTAATATTTGCTTATAGAACTCATAGATAATAAAATTGTTTTAGGTTTGATTTAGATGCTTTGTTTTTATCTTTCAGCCATGGAAGAATTAATAGTTGAACTGCAGCTGTTTCTTCAACTTCTGGACCATGAATATTTGACATCTACAGTCAGGGAAAAGAAAGCAGTTTTAAATAACATTCTTCTGAGGATACAGGCAACAAAAGGTCAGTGTCATTCTCATATTAAAGCAACATGCAGAGATAGAAACAAAACAACCGAAATCCTCACCTCTGCCATTAGATATACTGATTCTGTATTTATGCAGAACACTTTAGAAGTTTTGGGGGCTGTTTTCCTGTCTCCCTATGAGGAGGTTCTGTGGGAGCTGCCTGAAAGATAGATGTCTTCATTATAATTTCATTCTGTTTAAGGTATTGAACTAGGATCAAGGAGAAACCCAGTGCCTTTCTCTCAGGCCAACCTACCTCATAAGATTCTTGTGGGAAAAATGTGGAGGCGGGAGAAAAACTCTATACACTGCCTTAGAGTTCTGGAGAAAAGGCAAGATACATAATTAACAAATACCTAAACAAATGTACTGGACCTTATATTAGCTGGGAGTTTGAGGACCTATACCCAACAGCTCTGGCAGATGTTAGACTGGGAAAGGCTGCCTTCTAATATAGATTAATGGTTTTGTGTATTGGAGAGTAGTCCTTTTTTCCAGCTTTTGTTTTTCATTTGATGAGATATTCTGGGGTTTTTTTTTTCATTTATTTTTTTTCATATGTACATATGTTTGTATCAGCAGATATTGGGGAAAGTTCCATTTAGTATTTTCTATTGTAAATGCATTTTTCCCTTTCCATTAGACTTTGAGATAAAGGAAAATGTACAGAAACAAGAGATTGCCATCAATTTACCTGCACCACCTCAGATGCCTTTGCCAGAAATCCCACAACAATGGCTGGTAAGTCTGTCATAAGAGATCTCTTTTCTCCTTTCCTCAGTTTTTAAACCAAGCTACACATTTATCTGAATTGATTCCTTCTAAATTATTGTATAAAGAATGTTTCAATTTTTTCCAAGTAATTATTTAATTACAAGCAAATATTATTCCACCACAAATCAATGTCTAACATTTATTCAAAATTCATTTAAGATCTCATCTAAATATTCACTGTTTTATTTTATGAAAGATTTCAGCAGATGAATAGTTTTCTTTTCAGATTGCTCGCACAAGTTACTCATCTGGTTTGTTGGCTAGTATCACTGAAATAAATTTGCATGCAAAATGTTTTTCAAATTATAACTGGATATTACGTGATTATTTGTAACATACTTTATTTCTGTGAAGAAAAGTGAAGGTTTCCCCTGGCCAGTTGTGTCTGACTCTAGGGAAAGATGCTCATTTTTTAGCCGAGAGAGCCAGCATTGTCTGAAGGCATTTCCATGGTCATGACTATACACCAAGGTGCACAGAATACTGTTACATTCCCACTGAAGTATTAACCTATTTATCTACTCGCATTTGTCTGCTTTCAATCTGCTAGGTGGGCAGGAGCTCACCCAATTGTGCGGCACTTGGGTTCGAACTTTCCAGCTGACCAGCTCAGCATCTTTAATTGCTAAGCCATCACGCCCGCAGCAGTTATGTAGTATATGACTTATATCTGAGATTGATACAAAGTAATTCTTTATGTTTTATTTTCATTGGTTTTTAATTGATAATTATTAGTATACAACTGTTGATATTTTGCAGTATTTAACAGTTAATATGAAATAATAAAAAATGTGATTTTCAGATTTTCTACTTTTCAGGAATAACGTGTATATCATATACCAAATGGCTTTTAGCTATCTTCCAATATTGTAAAACAAACAAACAGGAAAAAAAATGATGAGCTCATTCTAAAAATGCAAATATTTGCAATAGCAGAAGGTGGTGGCAATGTGGACGTTTGCATTTTTAGAATGATTCAGAAAGGGAGGAAATGTTGGTACCACACCCTAGGCTGGTGCCTACTTGGCTTTAGTCTAAAAGTGGCCCCATCCTAGAATAATGTGTAAAAACAAAAATGAATCTTAATTATTAAAATTATTTTTAATTGCTATTAAAATCTGGCCATTAGATCAGGGACAGGCAGCCTGGTTTAATGGTATGTGTGCCAAAATACGTTTTGCTTCATGCAACGTTCTGGTTGGGAGAAGAAGGAAACAGAGTCCAAAAGAGGAGGAAAGAAAGGCCTGTTAGGAAAAAAAAAATGTATCCAGAGGGAATGGTGTTTTTCAACCCCTGCTGAGTCTTGAAGCACCCAGTTTTTATTTCATCCCTATTTATTGCACACCTTCCCCAAAAGATTAGCTTAATGAGTGTGAGTCTTGATATAGTCATGTTTTGAAATGGCAAGTATTAGTTGTAAACATTTTACATATATTTTCTTGGTCCCATCCCTTGAATAAGTTCATATATACCATGTTTCCCTGAAAATAAGACCCAGTCTTATTTTCATTTGGGCTTGAATATAAACACTCAGGCTTATTTTCAGGGAGGTCTTTTTTTTTTAAGTGCAGGAGGCGGGGAATGCAGGGGCCCACAGGAGTGGGACTGCAGTTACTGCTGGTTCCGCCCACTCTGTCTCACTGCTTGACCGTGGCTGCAACGGGCCAAGCTCTCGGCATGTCCTGGCTGCTGGTCTAGCTGGTCCTGCCAGCTGGACCAGTGGGTGGATGGAGATCGGGGCGTGCTGAGAGCTTGGCCCCGATTGAGGCCACGGGCAAGCAGAAAATGGGATGGAGAGGGTGGGGCCAGTGGTAGCTGCCCAAACACTTTTCACCTGGTGGGAGATGAAGCTTTGTCTGCTTGCAAAGGGGATGCTTTCGAACAGAGGTAATCACTCCGTTTCAAACCATCCCCTTGGCAAGCACACAAAGTTTTTGAGTCTCCGTCATTTTTCTATCTGGGTGAAAAGTGTTTGATTGCCTGGGAGGGGTGCTTGGGAGTAGCCGGCAGGCAACTGGCAGTCAGCAAAAATAGCCTGCAGTACTGCATTCTAACCACTGTGCCAAACATATTTCAGCTTAATTGATATTGCTACATTAAAAAATGAAAAAAGATGGTTTTTGGAATAATTGTTGTGGTTCGCTGGCAGCTGGTACGGATGGCAGAGGTATCGGGCTGTGAGGACGAAAGGGAACCAGTCAGGGATTCTGGTGAGGACTTGGATGAGGGTCCTGCATCCGATGCAAGGATGGGGCCAGGACCATCTGAGAATGGGGTGCTTCCTTCAGAGCTTTCAAAGTCTGGCAGCAGCAAAGCAGAGGACCCAGGGGAGCCTGTTCCCAATGCACGTGTGCGCAGAGCTGCTAGAAGACGAGAGCAGCTGAAGCAGAAGGGGCGACTTGGGAGTAAGGCTGGGAAGTGATTGCCTGTTCCAGAAGGGATAAAAGTCATTTCTCAATGACGAAGAGCTTTGCAGGAAGCAAAGCAGTTCAGTAATCTCCGAGTCCTTCATGAAGCTCTGTATTCTGGTGGGTTTTTTTCTAGGTTTTTGAGTTGGTTTATGTTAGCCTTAATTGGACGTCTGTTTCTTGGCACCATTCGACAGCACTGAAAAGCGTGCTCTTATTTGGAAGAACTGTGTATAATGAGTTTTGGCTGGGAATTCCCAGCATTGCATTAAAAAAGGTTTCGCTTTTAAATTTAATTTGTGTTTTATTAAGTTTGACGAAGCCTGGGTCAGAACAATAATATCTGTTAAGCTGTATAGAATTATATTAAAGAATCAAGTTTTTATAACAAATTAATAAGATTTGAATAAAAGATCAAACAACCATTCTTTATATGAATGTTTTCTTTGATTGGTGAATTTGCCTACTTTTTCTCCCATTTAGCCACCAGATAATGGTCCTCCTCCACTGCCTTCCTCTTCTCTTCCTGAAGGTTACTATGAAGAGGCTGTGCCGCTCAGCCCAGGGAAAGCTCCTGAATACATTACATCCAGTAAGTAAAACACCTTTAAAGGGATGCAAGTATATTTTCTTGTTTAGTTATCTTAAGAATGTAAAATGCAATTGTAATTTTTTAAAAAAGACTATTCACAAGTATCTCTGACTATATCATGCTTTATTAAATGGTATTCCTTTTCACTTAACCAGCTCCAAATGAACATGAGACCGTATTTCTAAATAATATTAATATACCATAAGACTTACCAGAAATAGTGCTATTGATTTGTTACAAATTTCTTGTGTATTTAGTCAAAACAGATCAGGTAATGGGTCTAAGATAGGTAACAGGCCTCCAAAATCCTGCATCTTTCTTCATGGGTGAAGATGTTATAACCTCTAGTGAAACATGTTCAAATATTCTTAAAATTTCCTTTGCATTCATAAAGTTTACTTTCCATTTCTGAAAGAGGAGATCTTGTTACGGTAGTCATATACAGTAGAACATTGCTTAAATGTTTTTGTAATTTTCAGGAGAAAACATGTTCCCACAACCACTTGTCAGGCAATCATGAGAGTTAGTTACAAGTAGTCCTTGACTTGATTGTAAGTAAACCAAGAATTATAGTCATAAGTTGTACCAGCCGTTAAACAGATTACCTTGTGACTGAAGTGATTTTTTGGCAGTTAAGTGAATCACCATGGTTGTTAAGCAAAACTGTGGTCATTAAACAATTGCCACGGTCGTTAAGCAGGTTTTTTTTTCCTGGAAATTGGAAGTAAATGCCACTTTCCCGAAAAAATGTAGTAAATTGCTATCACGAGATTGGGTTGCAGCAAATAACAATAAATTGGCAGGCGCTCAGAATGCAATCATGTGACTGCAGGAGAGGCCTGGTTACTGGACCTTTGATCATAATTGCCATTTTGGGTCTGTTATAACTTTGAATGGTCGCTAAGCAACCAGTCATAAGTCAAGGACCACCTGTAGTTAACTTTTCAGTCATGAACTTCTAGGTTTATGTAATTTTTAAAAATGTTTTTTATGTATAAAGAAAATTTTGCCAGTTAAATATTTTACCATTTACCATTATAAGAATATATAATCATAAAGAAAGATTAGCCATAATTGCTTTATTACTTACATGTTTTAGCTTTGGTATTATTTATTACTTCAAAGTTAGCTAATTTTGCTTGTAAAGATACATATCCATAGAATTAAACCTATGGAGTATATAATTCTCTGTTGTTAACTTTTAAGGCAAAAGTACATTTTACTAAATTATGAATTTACATAGCACCAACTGCTTAATTCCAGATGTGACTTTGTTCATCTGTTATATGCAGATTTTATTTTAATAGAACTTTTTTTGCCTTGTTAAGATTATGATTCTGATGCAATGAGTAGTTCGTATGAATCTTATGATGAAGAAGATGAAGATGGAAAAGGGAAAAAAATGAGACATCAATGGCCTTCTGAGGAAGCATCAATGGACCTTGTAAAGGATGCTAAAATCTGTGCCTTCCTTTTACGAAAAAAACGATTTGGACAGTGGACCAAACTGTTGTGTGTGATCAAAGAAAACAAACTGTTGGTAACTAAGCCTTATGGATTTTATTGAAATGCCAGTTGCAGTGTATTTAAGTCCAGAATTATGTTGGAAAGTCATCTGTATGGCTCAGTTGTATTTGCTTAAGTATCATGATTTAATTTGTCTTTTCATGGCTTAGATCAGGGGTGTCAAACTCAAGGGGCTACTCTGGAAACAGTGAAGGACCGGCCCACAGTGCTGCTGCCAGCGAAAACAGAGCTCAAGAGGGCTGTACGTGTCCCTTCCAGGCTCCATTTTCACTGGCAGAGGGCTGCAGAAGGCCATCGCAGCCAAAAACTGGGCCAGGGGGTTGCGCATGACCCCTAAGTTCCATTTTTGCTGGCAGAGAACTGCAGGAGGCCGTCAGGGCCAAAAATGGGACCCGGGGTGCTGCATGCAGACCCCCCAAACTCCATTTTTGCTGGCAGAATGCTAGCAAAACAAAGCAAAAGAAAACAAAAGGAAATATGTTTTTCCTTTTGCATTTAAGCATCCAAAAAGGAACAGGAAAGGAGAAAGGGAAAGAGGAAAGACAAAGAAAAAGAAGGAAAAATGGGAAAAGAGCAAGCAAGGAAAAAGAAGGAAAGAGGGAAAGGAAGAAGAATGAACAGGGAAGGGAAAAGAAAAGGGAAGGTTGGTTGGTTTACCATGTTTAACACTTGGCCACCAGCAGCACTGCTGCCCTTTCACCATCCCCTTGTCTCCTATGATAATAGATAATCAGAGTTGGAAGGGACCTTGTAGGCAGGGGTGGGTTTCTACTGGTTCTCTCCACCTCTGTAGAACTGGTAGCTCTGAAGAGCAGCAGACATAGAACCGGTTCTATGTCTGCTGATGTTTTTGCCCACCTGCCCACTCGGGCTCTTACCTGATCTTTATTTCCTGATTTTTGGGAGGCTGCTTCAGCTGCTGAACGAGGCACAGCTGCGGTTAAGAAAGCAGGAAAAGAGGGCTGTTCCAAAGGCTGCTTCTCTGCACTCAGCATGCTGGTGACGATTTACAGGCGCGTGGCTCACAGCGTGCAGGGAAGCACATCATAAATCACCAAACTTTGTAAATCCAGAACCGGTAGTTAACTCTGTCATATCCTACCCCTGCTTGTAGGTCATCTAGTCCAACCCCCCCCAAGCGGGAGACCCTACACCATTTCTGAAAGGTGGCAGTCCAATCTCTTCTTGAAAGTCTCAAGTGATGGTGCTCCCACAGCTTCTGAGGGCAAGGTGTTCCTCTTCCTGACCTCTCTTAGTGGTCAACCATCCTATCACTGAGGGTACTTTGGTTACAAAGCCAGGTCTCCTTGTGTGGAGAAGGAATGGGCCTTCTTCTCACCCCACACTTTGCTGTCCTGCATACACCATGAGGCACAGCTCAGGGAAGTGTGGCTGGGTTGGGCTGTGGGGTCCCAGTGCCCTGGGAGCTTGAGGGCCGGGCTGGGTGCTTGCCCTCCACTGCCTAGGGCTCTGGACAGCTTGCGCTGCCATCTGGGGGTCATCCATGTGGCCTGAAAGGGACGGCAAGGGTCCTCTGCAGGACAAGGGTTTGGCACTGTCCCTGGTCTTGTCTTCCGTTGCTGGAGACAATGGATCCCCCCAGCCCCGCCCAGACCACAGTTGCCCCTGACACGAGTGATGTTGGGCTGCCCGCACCACCCCAGTCACGTCCTCCTGGCCCGCAGTCCCCCCGAGGTCAAACACAACCCTGATATGATCCTCAATGAAATTGAGTTTGACACTCCTGGCTTAGATAGTTCTGCACAAAAAAGGAGGTAGCTAGTACCTAGCTTCTGCAATATATCCTTGATTTATTTTCCCTGAAGTATGATTACTTACTGGGATAGAATGGGCAGTCAAGAGTGCAAACAGTATTTGAATTTTGACTGAATTATAATTAATGGTAAAATTTTGCAGGAGATTTAGGCAGGTTGAAAAAGAAGTACAGAATAATTAGATTGAAGAATAAGTAAGAAATCTGTGCATGCAGTGCTGGTACTTAGAAGCCATCCTGACATTCAGACATGCAAGTCTTGATTTTGCCCTTTTGCCAAAATCCATCCTCAATTTAGAATAATTTAAATAATCATATTATAATAATGAACAGTGCTACATTGGAAGGATAATACAATTATTGCCAAAAGCTGGCTGCTTTTGACAATTGGTTGCCAAAAATTGATCTTGAAGAAATTTCTGTTTTGAGAACCTTGATACTGTTGACATGTTCATTAAAAAGAAGTATTGGAAAAGCATAATCTTGGAAAGTGTCAGAAATAATTGTTATTTATATATTCCATTTACATAGCCACCCAACTCACACAGGTATATGGGCAGTGTGCAATAAAACAAGCAATTAAGAACAAATCTAAAATAACCATTACAAACTATTTCACACAAAATATAAATAAGACTGCAGGAGAATGGACCAATATCCTACAAGCAATATTGCAGACTCCATAAGATCCTTGAGCCGGCTGGAAAAACCTGGTTTTGATTGATTTCTGGAAGGCCAATAGGGTTGGGCCTAATCTCACCTGGGGAGAAATTGTATTTCAGAGGGTGGGTGCCATGGCAGAAAAGGTTCATCTCCTGAATCCCATCACATGAAACTCTTTCATCAGCTGGAACCCATAATGTTTTTCTTCTGCTGGATGTGATGGGATGATGAGATGTATCTAGGGAGAAGCAGGTCCCTCAAATAATCTTATCCCATGCCACGTGGAGCTTTAAAACTCAAATATAGCACCTTGAATTGAACCAGGAAGCAACCAATACATGGAGCACAGGTATAATGTGTTGTTCTAGGAACACATATAAGAACTCTCTGTGCTACATTTTGCTCCAGTTGAAGTCTCCAGATGCTTCGGAGTAGCCCATCTAGAAGTAGTACAGCAGCAGTCCATTCGGGAGGTGACCAGGTCATGAGTAACTGTGAGTAGAATCTTACATTACACAACATGACATGAAGTTGTGCAAAAGCCTTCCTACCCAGGTTTGCACTTTGAGCGGGAGTCATGAGCCCAGAAGTCCCACCGATTGTGCACTGGGGATCTTTGGGGCATTGCAACTCCATCTAATACCACAGATGGTAAAGGAACTGGAAGGCTCTAAAACAAAAGCCAAACAGTCTTGCCATAGTTTAGTTGAAGCCTGTTCTGCATCCAAACCCTGACAGTCTCTAGACAGAGACAGGGCACCACAAGCATAATTTACTTTGCCAAGAATAGAGAGGTATAATCAAGTATCATCAGAATATTGAGGACACCTCACCCCATGGTGACAGATGATCCCATCCAGTGGTTTCATGTAGATGTTAAACGAGCAGAGAGAGCACCAAACCATGTGGAAACCCACATAGTAAGAGACCGAGAGTGGGGTCTCACCCCCAATCAGTGTTGATTGGCATCAACCTCATAGAAAAGAAAAGAACCAGCCCAGTTCAGTGCTGTCCGTTCTCACTCTACCAAGCAGATCCAGAAGAATACTATGGTCAGTGATATTGAAGCCTGCTGTCAAGTAGAGATAGGATGGATGCACTATCTACATCCTGCTCCTGCCAGAAATCATCCAAAAGCATGACTGATGCCATTTCCATCCCATGCCCAGATCTAAATCCTGGCAAAAAGGAGTCTCTAGATAATCTATTTCATCCAGGGTCTATTGAAGCCACATTTTCCACAGCCTTTCCTTAAAAAGGGGAGATTGGAATCGGATGTAAATAGTCCAGTGATATGGTTCATATTTCACCTGAGGTTAATGCTGTTCTTTTTTAATGACAATTTTTGTCTTTATTGTAGCTATAATATTATTGCCAAATGGGTTTTTTGCCGTTGTTAATTTGTGAATAATGGAAAGATCATGTGAATGGAATGGTTTATTTAATGTGAAGTTGATGTTTGCTCACTGAAGTTTGATTCTCACCTCCTTATTTTTGTCTTTATAGTGCTATAAAAGTTCCAAGGAGCAACAGCCTCAGATGGAACTGTTATTATGTGACTGCAGTATTACATATATCCCCAAAGATAGTAAAAAGAAGAAGCATGAATTAAAAATTGCACACCAAGGTCAAGATGCTCTGGTTCTTGCTGTACAGAGTAAGGAACAGGCCGATCAGTGGCTTAAAGTATGTCATGTTATAATCAATTCCATTGCTTATCCTTCCATTGATTAATTTAAGACCAAATAGTGATTGATAAAATGTATTTAAAATATATGAGACCTTAGCATAAAATTGAATATGTAAAATATTAATTTTGCCCTATAATTAAACTTGTAGTGATATAGGAATTCAGCCAGTCAGCACGCTTAAGTACTAAATTAGAGTTGTACGTTAAACATTACTCCCTTCTGACTCTAGCATAATTATTTAATTCCAGTATACTAATAACAACGTGGGAGAGGACAACTTCTGTTTTACAAAGTATTAAAATTTGGAAGCAACAGTGGATTTGCTGACAATTGCAAGTCTAGATGTGGCCTGGTTAAATTTATTATTGGGTGACTAGAGGTACATTTAGCACAATTATATCTTTTTCAATTATAGTTAATTTCGATTTTGAAAATAGAACAATACTGAATCAGAAAGTCTTACTTAGAAATGTGTTGCATATCTGCTTATTTTAAAGGAATTGACCATTCCAAAGTATTTATTCCTTATGGGTATTTGCTCTTTTAAAGCACCTGTCCCAAATATTTAGGTCAGATAACTTAAACTCTGAGGCCTGGTCTTTAAGGGGAGATGCCGTGGACTCCTGCTATGACTGGCATGCCCTTTCATAATACAAACCATAGCCAGTTGGGTCATATTATTTCGTCCTGAGGATCGGTATTCAGAGCAATCCCTGCTTTAACATTTTAATCTTTAGAAAAATAGTAGTTTTAGGCTTTTTCCCTCTCATCTGCAAAAATCTTTGTGGCATACTGATAGTGTCTTGATACTTATTGGTTCATGTTGTTTTCTGCTCATATTTTGATCCTGTACCTTAGACATGAGAACAGGAAGGGAGACAGGCAATATTTTCAAGAGTTATATTTCCAAGATTTAATAGATTCTTTTTCATGTGTACAGATTTAAGAAAATAAAAAACAATATTGTACTTACCTATAATTGTTGCAACTACAGGAATATGCCAAGCCTCACCTTATGTGCCTTGCAGGGGTTATGAAAAAGCACATCAGGAGACTTGCATGCAGATAACAAAGTTGTCTTCATAAAAAAAGTTAATCCCCAGAACAAATCTTTTTCACTCCAACATATTAGTTATTTGTTTTGGTTGATTGCCATTTGTACCATCGGGAGGGAAATAAACATATCTAATAAACAGTCATCTAATTTAAATCATTCTTAAGGATAATAATACAATATCCTGAAAAAGTAACCACAAAGTTCTGTAGAATTCAAGCTCTAGAGGCATTTGAATCCCGTCAAACTGGGACGGAATTTGGTAGGAAACTAGTGCTATAGAACTACTGGTAGAATAATACTTCTTTTAGAATATTAATGTTTTGTTTGCAAACTTCTTCACCTTCTCTTCAGGTATTGAACAGAAGGATGGACTAGAAGCAGACACATCTCTCTCCTTGCTCTGTTAAAACACCCCTAGTTTTTAATTTATGTAGCAAACAGTTTGGGATGAAAACAGCTACCCTGATAACAGTGAGGGGCCTGAGTTCTGTCTTGCTGGAATGACGAAATCTATCTTTTGAAAGAATGCATGATTTCATAGGCATAGCTGATAGCCAAATTATTCTCTTTCTCCTCTCTCTGACTTCTATATCTTTGTGTAGCCAAAACTAATTGCCTCTGGGATAAACAGAAAATGTGAGCAATATGCTAAGGGTCACTTGAAGAGGCAGAAGCACAAATACAGAATACAGAAATATTTGCACAAGTAAAAGGGATACTTAAATTGAAATACAAATCACATCAGGTTTTTTTAAAAATCCATACAGATATGCTGCTTAATGTATTAAAGCAACAGCATTTTCTTTAGCTTATTATATTGGGGGAGCGGGAGAGAATGGGCAGGTTAGGTTAGAATTTTTTTCGTAAAGGAAAAACAGGAAGAAGCAACTTAAATGTTTCAGTCAAATTCTGTAATAAAATAAATACCAAGAAATATCTTGGTTTTGTAGAAATTATGCATTTTATCTTATTAATAAACAGCTGTGGTCCTGGCCAAGAATTGTAAGCTAGAAATTAGATGTAAGCATATTGTTCTGCTTATGCAGTAGAACAGCATATTTTCTTCCATGCCTCAAACAAATCCCTTGGAACATGCATTCTTGTTCTAATTTTCAAATATCTCAAAAGGGAACCTGAAAGAGAAAGATTTTTGCTTAAAATTTGTCCCATAATTAGTCATGCTTATGTAATTCCCACAGTTTGTGTGTGTGAGATAACGATTTTTCAAAAGAATTTTGAAACATTACAACTTTGGAGGCAACAATAATAGGCACGCTGGAAGATTAACTAATCTCACTGTCATTTTGAGGAGAAGGATAAAAAATTTTCTTTAACCATTACCATCAGCTTTATTTGAAAGCAGATTCCACTGTATCTCAAACACTTATTCAGAGTGTTTAGGCAGTCTATTTATTTATTTATTGAATTTATATTGCTGCCTATTCACACATGGTGACTTAAAGAGGTTACAGAATATAAAATCTCATTTAAAACAATAAAACTAATTAAAAAAGAAATAAATTATTATAATAAAATAAAATCACCCCCCACCCTCCGTCCTGCAACAGCAGATCACATGAGCCATTTAATGGGCTCCATCCCGTTCTGGATTCCCCAGACCCACTGACAGATCCAGGTCTTCAGCGCCTTCCAGAAGAATATTAGAGTGGGGGCCATTCTAATCTCTGGGGGAATGATGTTCCAGAAAGAGGGAGCCACCATGGAGAAAGCCCTTCTTCTGGGTCCCACCAGGTGTATCTCCCTAGGGCAAGGGTGTCAAATTCGATTTCATTGAGGCCGCATCAGGGTTGTGTTCGACTTTGGGGGGCCAGAATGAGTGTGGCCAGCTTGACGTCACTCATGTCAAGGGCGCCTGTGGTGACCTGAGCACTCTGCTGGCAAAAATGGACTCCTGAGCTCCCATTTTCGGCTGGGATGGCCTCTTGCAAACCTCTGCCAGTGAAAATGGAGTTTGAGTGGGCCACTCCTGAGCTCCATTTTTGCTGGCAGAGGTACCGTGGGCCAGTCCTTGCTGTTTCCAGGGCGGTCCCATGGGCCAGATCTAAGCATCCTGTAGGGCCAGATCCGGCCCCAGGGCCTTGAGTTTGACACCTGCCCTAGGGGATGGAACCCGCAGCATTCCCTGCCTCCCTGCTTTGATGAGTTGGGTAGATATGACCGGAAAGAGACGGTACCTCAGATAACAATGCAGGGGAAATGGGGATAGCATTACCTGTATTCAGGGGTGGGCTTCAAAAAATGTAGCAACCGGTTCTCTGCCTGGTTGCTGGGTGGGTGTGGCCATGGTGGGCATGGCCTAGTCAGCCTCCTGCACCATGGTGGGGGGGGGCTGTTTTCACCCTTCCCGAGCTCCACAGGTTTTCCTCAAGCCTCTGGGAGGGCATAAACAGTCTCCCCAGTCTCTGGAGGCTCTCTATAGGCCAGAAATGAACCACGCAGGCCCTGCACTTACGATTTGGGGAACCAAAATGGGCCACGTGGGGACTCCTGGGAGAGGCAGGGTGGGCAGGGCTAGCCAGGGGTGGGATTTGCCGGTTCACCAAACTAGCCATAAAATTAACAACCAGTTCGCCCACCCTGCCTGTATTATAATGTTTGTGTTATAAAGTGTCATCTTAAGAATTTACTGCCTTTCAGTAAATGTCTCTGGTAGACCCAAAGAATTTTACATGAAGTAATTCCTTACGAACTCTCATTGTGGCTGAGCTTTGCTGCATTTGTTAAATAGTGGTTATATGTTAGATTGCTTACAGTGGAACTTAAATAAAAGTGGATTAATAGAAATGCTGGTTCCAGTTAGGGTTGTTAAGCGAGGACTACTTGTAAAGTGATTTTCAGCATCTCATTGTCTAAGAGGAAGCAGTTAGTCCATCAGTAAGATCAGTTGCAAGTAAAATAACAGGAAGTATGCTATTTCTTTTTTTTCCAATACGTTATTTTTAATACTAAAAGTAGCTGCATACCTGTGCTTCATGATGACACTATGTGATTGGGCTATGCAGGAGAAACCCAGTTCACAATCTGTTGGCTCAGTGGTGGTTGGTGATTGAAACACATAAGGGAATATTGCTCCCGCCACCTTAAGTCTGGAAGCGGTTCCATAGGTGGAGGGCGTAGACATTTTGGTGAGGTACCAACGTTTAGTACCGTAAGGAGCCATAAACCGCTGCTGAACTCTCCAGTAACCTCTGATGTTCTGGCATGGAGAAGATGGCTTACATCAATATACCTCAGTGCGATGCAAAGACCAAGGGTCCTCTCAAGAAGAGTCTGCTGCTGACTTTTACAGCTAAAGGATAATGGAGCGTAATGGCAAAGAATGCTACTGTCATGCCCGTCAGAGTCTGAATCTGAGGAGGAAGACGAACAGCTGACAGGGAGTGGGAGTGTGGGTCTGCTGGCTGTGGAGGAAACTGGGGAAGGGCAAAGTCCAGCTGGGCAGAGCAGGAGAGAGGTAGAACAAGGGAGAAGGAGTTCAGAGGAAGACCCAGGCCCACCCCCTCTTCATCCTCGGGCAAGCAGGGAGGAACGGAGAAGAGAGCAACGTGGGTTGCATGGAGGAGGAAAGGGCCCTGACTCCCTTCATTAGCCACAGCTGGGAAGAGAGTTTAAAAGAAATGCATGCTGAATGTGGCAACTTCTGTGAGCAAACATGAGTTTGTCTTGTGTTGACTGCTTATCTGTGTTCCTGGTGTCTTCCCAATCATGTTGAGTTATTGACGTGCCTTCATGTCTGGAATTCTTGTTCCTGCCCTGCCAAACTAATTACCTCATTTTGCCTTGATTGGACTTATAGTTACAGTTTTTATTGTCCACGTTTTGGACTTGATTCTTTGGAACCAAAGGCTGTTCCTGGGACAGTTTTTCTACAGCCAGAAGGTAACCAGGATATTGGAGGCAAAGTTGGAGCTAATAAACGGACTCTACTGATTATCTGACCATGTTGCCTTTGTGCCATGCCCCGGTCATCACAGCTACCTACTGCTGTTCCGCAACCTTGTGAGGCATCTGGTAGCTGGAATAGAGTTCTTTTCAGGGGGAGGGGGAGTAGAACTCCTTAGCATCAGAGCGTGTTAATTGCTGTATTAAGAAATAGTAATGATCTGATGAACATTTTGAAAAATCCTTTCTTAGCCAACACTTAGAAGCCAAGAGGAACATATGTGCCAAATTTCAAGTTTGTAGGCTTTACGGTTCTGGAGTTTTCGTGATGAATGAGTGGTACTTGGCTTTTTTTATTTATTTATATATTTATTTATTTATTTATTTATTTCTTGGTATTCTGTTATTTACATACTGTACGATATATGTAAAGTAGAAAATAAAAATACATATTCTATGCATATGCATACAATTTAGGATATCAGTGTTCGAAGCAGTATAATTTTGATTATAATAGGATTTATTTCAGACAAAGTTAAATTTAACATTGGAAAAGAAGAGATAAAAGAACACATTGTGACATACGCCAGTGTATTTGTTATTTAATAAAAGTTTCAGTCTTAAGCTAAGTTACTTCTAAGTACTTTGCCCATCTTATCATTCATGTTAATGTTACTTTCATTGTTTATTTTTATTGTTTCATTGCTTCACTTATTGTTATGTTTACATTTTTAATCATTATTTTTCTGTTTTACTGTGGTAAGCTGCCCAGAGAGCCCCACAACAGGATTGGGTGGCAAGTAAATTTAAGCAAATAAATAAATATTTGATATTGAAGCTCCTTTATAGTGTTACTTAATATATGTACGTGAGTGTGACTATATGTGTGTAATATTGTTACAGGTAGTCCTCAACTTACCATAGTTCATTTAATGATCATTCAAAGTTATAACAGCACTGAAAAAAATAACCCCAGACTGTTTTTCAAACTTACAACCGTTACAGTATTCCCATGATCAAAATCCAAATGCTTGACAACTGACTTATATTTATAACTGCTGCAATGTCCTGGGGTCCTGCGATCCCCTTTTGCTACCTTCTGATGAGCAAAATCACTGGAGAAGCCAGATTCAATTAATAAGTGTGTTACTAACATAACAACTACAGTGATTCATTTAACAACTGGGGAAAGAAAGGTCATAAAATGAGGCAAAGCTCACTTAATGGAAATTTTGGATTCAATTGTGGTCATAAGTCGAGGACTACCTATACATGTCAATAAAAAGAAAACATAAATAGACAAAGTTACAAAATTAAAGTACGAAGAATAAATAAGATAAAATAATAGCATTTTAAAACAGCTATTACCTCTTTTCGAGTTGGAAAGTTCAATTTGAATTTAAGCTGCCTGGCATTTTTCCAGGTACATATGTATATAAAAGAGGAAGAATTGGGTGTAAGTAGGAGATGAAAAGAAGGAATATTAAATCTAATAAAAAACAGAAGGAAGGACTAGAGACATATTATATAAGCATTCCTTTGTCCAGAATAAGAAGCTTCAGATCTGGTATGGAACCTTTTATCTGTAGTTTTAATGCCTTCTCTTCATTTCATGCATAAGGTGCTAAATGAGTAGAAAGATACTTTCGGGTTTGCTACTCTAGCAAATTCTCATTCTCTAACTATCAAGATTGTAACTGGTCATTTGTTTTTTTTAATACTATCTTTTCTGTTTCAGTATAAGCTTTTATACGTTTTTAAAGTTTCAAGAAGATACCAATGAACTTTCCCCCCTCATTTTTAAAGGTAATAAAGGAAGTTTGCAGTACCTATGTTGGCACAGTGGATTCAGATGGACCATCATCTAATTCTGTGTATAAGACTGATCTGGAAAAGGTAATTAAATTGCAAAAACAAAACACAGTATGGTGCTTTCATTTTGTTCAGAAATCATTTTGAACCAGGAGTCCAGAATTATTAAACCTCCAAGGAGACGAACAATAGTGTGCTGGTTCATGCAACCCATGCATCTTCGCTTTAGTCTTCTGTCCATGTGAGTTGCCAGACAAATTTAGCAGGAGTTAAGTTGGGATTGTGGTTTGTTTATTTGTTTTAGTGTTTAAGCAAGGCAACTTTGTAAACTAATTACAAACTAGAGTTTATGGTGTGGCCCATAAATATAGATTATGCTCTGGTGTCTCCTCAGATTATATATACACCGTGGCTTAATAAAGTATGAACTGTAGAGTCAAGTGATGTGCAGACATGGCCATTGAATCAAATGTCTCTAGTTTCTATAACATTTAAAGTAAAATGCTAAATTTCATTGTTCGCTATTAGAAATCAAGATTCATCAGTTTTGCTAATTTCTGTGCCTATGTATAATTTCCCTATTCTATATTATAGAGATAGCAATAAATGCTTTTTCAGGACAGGCTTACTGTATTTGAATAATGGGAAGACAATTGATATCATTTGGCTTCATTTAGTTCATTTTTAAAATATCTTTTTACATTTCTGATTGGCTTATAGCAGGGCTGTCAAACTCACGGCCCATGGGCCGGATGTGTCACGTGCTGCCCACACCCGATTTAGTAGTGAAGGAAAAAAGTCACGATATGTCACATGATGCAGCCGTGACGATGTGAGTTTGACACCCCTGGTTTTTACTCTATATACCAAAATATATGGTATTTGTGGATTAAATCTAAATAACAAATGTCCTTATGCTATATGTCAGAGCATAAAATATATGGTAGATTGCTTATGGTGGTATGGGATATGGAATATGGAAAAAGCAGCACTACTGAAAATTTAAAATTATACCACTGTGATGTATTGCAATGGAAAAAAGTTGCCCATGCCGTTGCTGTTTCTTGCAAAATAAAAATGGGGATGAAGATGTCTAAATTACAGACTTTGGAGAGTTACCTAGAATAGTAAGATTTGCAAGAACATTTCTGAGGCTTCTCTTGTCTCAGCAGTTTTATTTTACTTATTTATTTAAATTTTATTGGAATTCTATTCTCTTAGGAATATCTTAAATATTCACAGGCACTTACTGTCAGTTTATAAAGTAGACTAGTCTAAGAAATACACAGGAATACACAACAGACCTAAAGCTACTTTTATTAGAACAGCTATAGCAACAGAATTTTGCAAGTCTGAACTTCCTTCCCCCTTTAACTTAAGGAGGGAGGCTGCCTGAGGCATTTTTTGCACTTGCTTGGTCTAGGCTCACTTATCTGACCGTTGCCTTGGCAGCAGATCTTCCCTATGTCCCTAAAGGCTATCCTCTATTTCCAGAGCAATTATATTTTAGAACCACAAGGGATGATGATGGCACTGTTTGTGATGATGATGGTGATAACTTTTTTAAAATTTCTAATCCACTCAATATTTTCTGGGGGATTAAAAGCAATAAAAGAAGAAAATATAATAAAATGTTTAAATTTAGCATAGTTACTTATTATTCTTACTTTCTTTTTAGTATTTCTATTTATAGGAGTGTCTGTGGGGATAGTAAAAAAAATCATGATGGTAACCACAACTCTACAATCAGAAGATATAGATAGATAATTAGAATTATGCAAATTTATTATTCAACAATAAGCAATTTCCCTTATTTAGGGTGGTTAATTTAAAAAATATATATTCATATTACTATGACCAGAAGAAACATTTCTTTTTTTTAAAAAAAATTAAACAAAAATAAACGGCTACTGTGAATATTATTTCTGGCCTAACATTTGGCAAAAGGATCTCTGCCTATTTGTGCATGTAAGTATTTTAAGAACAGGCAGCTTCATTAATCAAACATTATTTGGAATTCAGTACAGAGAAGGAGAGCTAAATTTTTCTACAATCTTTTTGCATCTGTTGTTAAATGAGTCACTGCAGGTAATAGAATCATTCAGTTAAGTGAATCAGGCTTCCCTTTCGACTTTGCTTGTCGAAAGCTGGTTGGGACAGTGCAACCGTCATAAATACATGCCAGCTACCAAGCATGCAAATTTGGATCATGTGACCAACAGTCATAAATTGAAACCAGTCATAAGTCATTTTTTCCCAGTGCCAATGTAATTTTGAATGGTCATTAAACAAATGGTTGTAAGTCAAGGAATATTCTATGCATTTCTACTGAGTGGAATGTTTATGGAGGTTCTCAGTCATCTAGGTCATGGTTGTCCCAAAGGTGCTTTTTCAGTTGCCTCTTGAAAAAGGAGCTTTGGACTGAGTGGGATGAAATAGAAGCTAGTTAGAGAAACAACTTTTTATTTTCTTTATAAATAACTTGCTGTTGTTACGTATAGTATCATAAATTCATAAAATAAATCTGCCATTTTCTTTAGTACACATAGGATATTACAGATAATTTGGTTATACACAAAATTGGTTTTGCTATATTACACGTGTTTAAAATTCAGTTTGGATTTAATAGATGATCTCATTTAACCAATATTTCTTGAGACAATGAAATGGGGAGCTTGCTTAATATTACAGTAAAAAAGGACCCTGAGCCTTTAAAGTTACAATGACCACAGAATACAAAGAAGTGATTACAGCCTTCACATGTTATTCCCTGTGAACATTGTGTATATCAGCATTATGTTGAACATAAGATGTAACACTTGAATGGTAAAAAACATAATTCCTGACAAAATAATTCTTGGATGTGTTGTGTTTGCCTCATAGGTAGACGATGTTTTGTTCTTTGATTCACAATAGATTATTCTCAGTGTAACTATATTAATAATTCTTTTTCCATCCAGAAACTGTCCTTAGAAAGACCAAGTTCTGATGGAGAAGGTGTGGTAGAAAATGGCATAACCAACGTTTGTAATGGGAAAGAACATGGTAAGATGCTGCTAATAGTACTCAAGTCAAATCATTATATTCACAAACATTGTATGCTGAGAAAAAGTAAAAAATACATTTTCATAGGCATAGCCCTGGAAGGAAATGAAAGGTCAATTCACTACACTTAAAACCTCTTGTTGTCAACAGAAATAGTAATTGTATCAAGGTAGTAGGCAGGTCTTTCAAAAAATGAAGACATTTTTAAAAAAATATTTAAATTTAGTTTTCTTAATTAACTTTAATTTTTTAGATTTCACCAGAAATTTAGAAGGAAATAAAAAATGAAAAATCAACCAGTTGATCTGAAAGAAACTGGAGCCTGTACTTACAGGAAAACATTAGGAAGGGGAAAAAATGAAAAATATCAAGCTGCTTAGAACTTCCTAGAGCACTTTCGCCCCAAACAAACTAATAGATATAGTCTTGACCCAAATGTGGTGAGGGTATGAATAATGAATAGAAGCTTAACTCTTTTTTAATGGCATTATTCAAAAACATTAAGGTGAAAAAATAGAAATTAAAAAATTGCTTTAAAGTGTCAACTTCTTAAATATTGGTACATGAAATCACAATTGTGAGAGAGTAAGGAAATTTAGAAAAGAAAAGAGAAAAGGAAGCTAAACGTTAATCCAAAGATTTAAAAAACACCTAATTGGTTATATTGTTTTGTACTTCATTAGTAGCTTTCTTTTAAAAACTCAAAATCCCTGACCAGTCTAAAAACCCAGCAATTCATATATGAGAGAGAATTTCCTGCAAGTAATTAAAAGTGGAATGAGGATGCTCCCTGAGTTACCCTTCACCACTTTAAATTTGTGATTTAATTAATGCTTTATTGGAGGATGACATCGATGAGACACTACCACCTTCCTGGTGTCAGTATTGTTCTTAATAGCAGCAGTCAACATTGTCAGTAGGGTAGAACTAGTGCCAAGTCAACAAGATCAAGAAGCCAGAATTCAGTTTGAACTAGTTTTTTTAAGGCAATAAAAGACCGTAAGGCTCTGGGATCAATTTTCCGTTCCTAAGTATTTTGTTGAATAATAGAAAAGTAATGCTTTGGAATTCAAGTAGACCTTGTTATGCAAAACAAAATATATTGCAAGGATTTCCCAGACGGTGCTCTGAACTGTTACTCTATTGAAAATTCAATTGCGTTAAAGTTTGGTCAATTTATAGGTGTCTTTTGAAATGGCCAGTTGGACAGGTAGCTCTGCATCCAATTCATTGCTTTTGTCCCTAATATACCACTGAACCTTTTGCTCTTTTGTTTCTAAAACAAAAAGGACTTTAAGCCAAGATGTGAAGTTGATGTAATTAAGAATATCAAGTACAAATGTGTAGAAAGTCAGGTTATCATAAACAACTGCTAGTAATTGTTGGGTTAAATATGCATGCAAGTTTTGCATTTACCTAATTTAATTTTCTTTCATGTTTGAATATTTTCAATAGGGAAATTTATGATAAATCTATTCTAATTTAAATTGATTAGTTTTGTTTGGAGATTGACAATCCATTTAGATAAAACTAGGTAGTAGCTCTTTTAAATCCACAGTTTTTTTTAAAATCAAGATGGTGGTTGCAGTGATGCAATTGAAACTCTTTGTATCTGAATACCACAGTGACATATGGAAAAAAGGTGGGGCTTCAATCACACAGCCAGTCATATGGCTTTTTTGAACATACTCCTTCCTCTGGGACTTCACCGAGATGGGCCCTTAACAGAATTTCCAAGAAAGAAATTCATGAAATGTATCAACAATGTCTTCAATTGAAGCTAGGTTCAATGATTTCCAAGCACCTTGAGCAATACCAGAGGCTGGATTAAATTATTTTTTTAAAAAATTATCACAATTACCAGACCTCATCTGGGGTATAGCTAGTTGGAAAGATATCTTCCTGAAATTATCTAACTTTGCTTGGAAAATTGTAATCTCAAGACAGTTGGAACTACCAGTACTGGTTTTCCCTGAGACACTTTGCCAGAACATCCTTAAAACTGGAAAGGAAGATCCTAGCCTTCTATAGTGAAACTGGCATGAAGCTGCAATAAAGCAACTTATGTAGTATAAGCACAGGTTAGAAACCACACCTTTTGTCTGGACAGTCTTTTTTCAAAGTTGGGAAAGACTGTATTGAATAGAAGTATGAATGGCAACATAACCACTTCAATTAATAATGGTTAACCCTATAGCACTGCTTTTCTGGAGGTCTACAGTAAGGTGGTTTCATTAATTTCAAGTAGGTTGTCTATATCACACCTTTTAAGCACATTTTGGGAGGGTGCCATTTTTAGAAGGTAATAGATGTCTAATAATGTGATTTGGGTTGCACATTATTTTTTCACATAATTTCCAATCCTTTTTTTATTTACTTTTATGTTTACCCAGGTTATAAAAGTTTAAGTGTAAAACATTGTTTTATAACCCTTCTTTTTAAAAAATCCTGGCATTTGACATATTTTTTATTATTCCAATAAATGTGAGCATAGGACATAAACTTACATTTCCAATTATGGTAATCTTTTTCATTTTTAGATGGTGAAATATAAGTCAAATAAAATCAGAGATACAAAGAATTAAAAAAAGAATAAAAAATCATGATTTCAGCTTCACTCAATAAAAGTCCATTCAAGTTCTAATGAAGATGCAGTGATTCAATAAGTACTCATTACCAAAAAGCAGAATTTCGCAACTCTCTGTCTGTATCATTTCAGGGAACTCTGTCTGCCAGTAAACAGTTTATATAAAATTCCTCAGAATGACATCATTTTTTTTCAATACAGACAGAATTAATGTTAGAACATCAGAATAATGCTTATATGGTTAGAGAGTAGGCCTCTATGACTCAACCTTCCTTCTATTACATTGGCTTAATTTTGGGCAATCTGAATGTTACTGTATCTACAGTGGACATAAAAAGTCTACACACCTATGTTAAAATTTCAGGTTTCTGAGATGTAAAATAATCAGACCAAGAAAAAACAGTTCAAAATTCTTTCCATCTTTAATATAATGTATAAACTCTACAGTTCAATTAGAAACAAACTGAAATATTTTAGGGGGAAAATAATAATAAAAATCTTAGCAATAAATTGGTTGCATAAACTAATACTTGTTGAAACACCTTTTGATTTTATATAAGAGCATTCAGACTTTTGGGGCAGAAGCCTGCAGCATGGCACATCTTTCCTTGGGAATCTGCCTACTCTTCCTTTGCAAAAGTGCTCCACATGGATCAGCTTGCAAGGTCATCTTGCACAGCCCTCTTCTGGTCACCCCACAGATTTTCAATTGGATTCAGGTTTAGGCTTTGCCTCTGCCATTCCAAAACTGATATTCTTCTGGTGAAGCCATTATTTTCTTGATTTGGAGGCATATGCTTTAGGTCGTTGTCATGTTGAAAAGTGAAAATTTTCAGCATTTTAAAAGAGACCTGAAAGCTTTGTACCAAAATTGACTGATATTTGGAACTGTTCAGAATTCCCTCCACCTTAACTAAAGCCCCAGTTCCAGCTGAAGAAAGGCAGACTCAAAGCATAATGCTCCCACCACCATACTTCATTGTGGCTATGGTGTACGTTTTGGTGAGGCACAATGTTATTTTTGGGCCAAACATGCTTTTTGAAATTATGGCCAAAAAGTTTGACTTTGGTCTCAACAGACCATAATAATTTTCCCATATGCTTTTATTAAATACAAGTTTTTGAAAACATGTTGCCATGCTTTGATGTTTTTTCTTAGTCAGAAAAGGCTTCCATCTTGTCACCGTAACCCACGGCCCAGACATACAAAGAATATGGAGATTGTTGTCACATATACTGTGTTTCCCCGAAAATATGACTTACCCCCAAAATAAGCCCAAGCCCCACACTCCATCCTACTGCCTAGTTGCTTGCAGCCACAACAGGGCAGGAGGCCAGGTGGCACTGCCATGAGGTAAAGTGAGACAGGTGGTGGGGGAAGAGCTGCCACATGCGCCCTGGAAGGACATATGCATGCCTCTGAGTCTCCTATTTCATCGCCGGAGGCCTCATCAAATGGATCTCCAGTGAGAAAGGAGCAGTCCTTGGGCCTCCTTTCTTGTCAGCAAAGCACTTTAGGACTGCGTCCCTGTAGGGTTCAGCAGCCCTTTTCAGAAAGCCTTTGCCAGTAGCAATAGAGCTTCAGAGGGAGGCACCCGCCCCTCCCAAGCTCCGCTGGTGCCAATAAAGGCTTTTTGCAAAGGGCTGCCAAAGCCTACAGGAACGCAATCTCCTTGCAGGCTTCGGCAAGGAAATGGCAAACTGAGTGAAGGCCTGAAGGCCTGAAGCCTTCCCTCCATTTGCAAATGCCCAGGCTTCAATTCACAGAACTTAAAGTGCGAGATCACATGAGATGAGTAGTACGAGATATTGTACTACTGATCTTGCATGATCTCACGGTATGTTAGGTCTCTGTTCTCTGCAGATGCATCGAAGGCCTGGAGCAATGAAGCAGGCAAACAAAAGCACAACAGAGAGGAGATATTTGCAAGTAAGTCTTCACAGGTGAGGTGCCTATGAAGACCTGGTCAGGTGGGGGGGCGAATGGGAGCCCGAATTGTACAGAGATTTTGCAGTCATTTGTAAGAGCAAACAACTGCCGTGGTGCTGCAATATTCATAATTTTGAGACTCGTTTATAAACACTAGGGGGTACTTATCACGTAACTTTGAACATTCACTAAGGGAATGCTCATAACCTGGGGATTACCTGACCTGACTACTATTTAACATCAGTTTGAATATGATTGGTTAATTCTAATCACAGCCACATCCTACTTGTAAGATGGTATGCACAGTTATGTAATCATATTGTTCATTTGTATTGTTATTTTTCCCCTCAAATGATTTCAATGGTTATTCAGTTCAGTTGTATTGTACAGCTTATACGTTATATTAAAGCTGAAATAATTTCTCTTGGACTGATTTTTTTTACACATCAAAAACCTGGCATTTTAATAGGATTTTAACTTTTTATATCCACTGTATCTCCTAAAGTTGCCAAAGGGAGAGCGAACTATGATAGATGCCTAGCATAGGAAAGTGTCACTGGGAAACACTGAAATACCAGTACATTCTTAATTTGTTCCAATTTTAATATTCTTTAATATTAACTTTTCTTAATAACACTTAGTTTTTTAACACCTGAAAATAACAAAACTGGAGGGTAACAATTTTCTTGCAATGTTTTTCACCAAGTAGATAGATATCTATCAGATGTTATTAATGAAACCAACCCAATTGGAGTCAAGATAAGCCTTAAGTAAGCTAATAAAATTGCTTTATCAGATTTAGCTTCTTAAAAAAATCATCCCCTAGTCTCAAGAGTAATTCAAGGTACATCAAGGTGTCAAGAATAAGGAAGCTTAAAAAAATCTCACAGTGCTTTTTTGCATGGACCAAAATAGGTAAAAGATTATAGTTGTGCCATATATAGATGTTACATAATTATTTTTGCAATAAATAATTTAATACTGTAATATTATTGTGGGATAAAATTCCTATACCAACAGATGAAATCTTAAATGTCTGCTGTACTCTTAGGTTAAGGAAGCACAGTTATCATGTGCTATTTGCTTTCTAGGTATTGGAAAAGCACTCAGATATTTAAAGTTTATGTTTTTTGTGGTTTGTCTGCTTATGTAATATCTGTGAATTTTAGTGTTGTCGAAGAAGACAATCACTTTTGAAACTTAGTTATTTATAACCTGCTGTTTTTTCTTTGAATGGATGGGTGGAGGGGTCTTAAAAATATTTCCTAAGAACATTATGAGTTAGTAACAGAACAGAGGCATCATCTGTGTAAAACAGATTAGCTAGTTGTTTATTTGCCAGGCTTGCCAGTGTGTGTGTGTGTGTGTGTGTGTGTGTGTGTGTGTGTGTAGCTTTTGCCAATATTTAATTAGAATATTTATATAAAAATAAACAAGAATAATGCCACCATATAGCCTTGATTCATTGTGAAAGAATGATAGAGGTAGGTAGATAGGTATGGTAAATGAATAGACAGACAGACAGACAATCCGTCCGTCTGTCCTCCTTCATTGAACAACAAAATGAGATACAAATGATTAAAAGACTTTTGTAAGAGCACAAAGGGCTATATTCATATTTACTTTTTTAGTGATGATCAACTGAGGGTAGATATGGTAATATATGAAGATTGAAAGGCTCAATTAAATTAAGACCTTTATTTAGAAAACAAATTGCAAACAATAGGAAAACCTACCAGATCACTTTTAATTAATATTGGAAATATTTGCTTTTTGAAAATATAAGTAGAAACCAACTTTGTTCACAAAGAAGGATACTGGTATATTACATGCAGGGAATCTACCTTTTTATGTCCTGCAATTCTTCAGCATTGTTGAAGAGCAATAATATATGCATTAAATGAATGCATTGCACCTGGCACAAGCCATTTGGCATTTTTACTGCTTGTTTCCGTTTAAAAACCAAGTGCTGGGATAATGTATACCCATACCAGATTGTAAAAGTGACATGCAAACTTGAGAGTTTGAATTGATTTTCATTAAAGGAAACTCAGTTGCTTTTGAGGTGAAATGTTTTTTGTACCACAGTTTCTGCTATTTGATAAATGTTTCTTTTAAAATCTTAGAAGACTTAGCTATCCGTGTGTATGTGTTTGGTTGATAGTAAAGAGGAAAAAGAGCTCAAAGGTGGACTCCAAAGGCACTGTTCCTAAAGTAACAGGAAAGAAGATAACAAAGATAATTGGGTTAGGGAAAAAAAAGCCATCTACTGATGAACAGACCTCATCTGCTGAAGAAGATATACCAACATGTGGTAAGTGGCTTCTTATGACCTCTTACAGAAACAACTTATTGGTGGAAAATGTTATTTGATTTCATTTCTTTAAAAATTCCACTCTTCAGAACCAGATTTTTCTTGTTCCCAATCTCCTTGCACACTATTTTGTTCTTCTAAAAATGTTTACTGTACAAAGATGTTGTCAGGCTGCTTAAAACACCATAGTCCACTAAAGAATTCCATTCAAATTACCTGGTTTTCCATTTTTTAATCTGAAACCATTTAAGCTATGCCTAATAGCTCCGGTTACTGTTTGGAGGATATTTACCCATCCGCTGATGTGTCAGTGAAAAACAACTAGTCATCTCCTAGCAACTCTCACTCCTCAGGTTAACATTGCCCAACGTTTCCACTTTACTGATCTCACACTCCCTGTAACTCCCCCCCCACCCCCAGACGCACACTCCAAATGATCTGAACAGTTTTATGATTTAGGATTATTTAGTAATATGTATCTGTGCAAACCACCTTTGTAAGCGTCTCTGTTTCTGATTTCACCACCCCAGTTGGCAACTAACTAACTCCCATGGCTTTCAGTTGTCTCCATTTTTCTGTTATAGTCCCACCTATCTTCTAGAGTAGAAACCTCTTACTCAGCATCTACTCTCTCCTATCCCCTTCATAATTTTCTCTAATGTTGCTATATTCCTCTTTGCTTTTGGACAATAGTGAATGGTCATTTATATAGTGTCCCAAGATTGTGTGATTTTTCCCCTCCCTCCCTATAAAATAATTGTCTTGTACAGGCAATCCTCGACTTAGCAACTGGGCGCTTAGCAACTGTTTGAAGTTACAACAGACCCACAAAAAGGTACTTACGATTTGGATTTGAAGTTACAATGCAACCCCCCCGCCCCACCACATGATTGCATTTTGAGCACTGGGTAACCAGCTCACCTTTATGGTCATTTGCAGCACTCTGTGGTTATTCGTCTGCAATTGGTGGTGTTTTTTGCTGGAAACCAGACAATCAGTTCACTTAACAACTAGTGCAAAAAAAAAAAAGTCAAATCAAGTCAGTTACGTGATGAATCACTTAACAACTAGCATGATTTACAACTGTAATTCTGGGCTCAGTTATGGTCTCAAATGAAGGCAAATATACGTGTCCCTGGATTGCAGGATCTAATCGCGGTTTAGTCTTGTGCTGGGGCTCACTCTTAGGGAATCAGTTATGATTCTAAGTCAAAAACTACCTGGTAAATCCATAATAAGTTTCTTTTGCATTTGCAGTACAGAAACTAATAGCATTTCTAATCTATTTTAAATGAAGTGAAGAAAATTCTGAAAATTAAGAAATTTTCCATTGTGTGGTAGAGAGGTAACTCATGTTTTTATCATAAAAATGTGTAAGATAACTATTGTCATGTGGACTGTTAGCTGAAAGAATTCCTATACATAGGCTTGAGCATTAAATCAATCTAATTGGCTCCTGTATTGTTTGGTCTTTTGTGCCTCACAATAAATTGTGAATATACATTAGAAAACTTTAGAAGAAACTTGTTTTTATGTTTTGCAGGATATCTTAATGTGCTCTCGAATAACCGTTGGCGTGAGCGCTGGTGCAGAGTGAAAGATAATAAGCTTATACTCCACAAAGACAGGACAGATCTAAAGACTCATATTGTTTCTATCCCTCTCCGTGGCTGTGAAGTTATTCCAGGATTGGATTCCAAACATCCCCTGACATTCCGCTTGCTTCGAAATGCTCAGGAGGTTGCAGTATTAGAGGTATATTGTAAAGAAATAATATAAACAGAATCTAGGAATCCTGCTTCTGTAATTAATACTTTGAATGCACAATATTTCCTTGTTCTTGACCATGAGAGGAGCCCTTAGCTAGATATAAGCATATATATATATATATTTTCTCTCTTTCCCTTCCTCCCTCTCTCCCCCTCCCTCCCCCTCTCTCCTATCTCTCTCTCTCTCCTTCCTCCTTTTGCCCTTCTTTCTCTCCCTCCCCCCCTTCTTAGGACAGATTTGGAAATGCCATGTATCTCAGGCAGGGGTGCAGAATTTATGTCTCCATAAGAATCTCTAGGCTTGGCATAATGCATTAAGGACTATATTCTAAAAGTATGTCTAGACAGAGTGTTTTTGGAAGGAGGAAAAAACATTTTAAACATCAAAACCTAAGGTATTCATGTTATCTCTTAATGACCTGAGAGAGAGCCCAAATATTGGGCTCTAGAACGTGGGTGGGAATGGGGGAAGGATATCTCTGTGCACTACAAAAGGAAATCTGGAATGGGCTTCTGGAACTTCCGTATTCATCAGAATGCTAAAAGCAGTGTTATGGTGTCATGCTACGAGTTCCATGTGAAACATGCAGAGGCATTGCCACAATGCCGCTTTTGTCATTCTGCCTCTAGCCTCAGCCTCCACATAGGAACTGCTGAAAGCTGATCTTTGCTGTATTGCATCCTGAGGAGTAGGGTTATTTGTTTTAGCAAGGTTTTTGGCAGCCATCATGGAAATGTTTTAAAAATGAAATTCAAGAATTCCTTCACTGCGTAAGTAAATGTATACTTGAACTAAAATAGATATATATTGATGAAAGTTTCAGCGTTCAGCTGTGATTTTCTTCTGTTTGTGTAGGCTTCATCTTCAGAAGATATGGGCAGGTGGATTGGGATTCTGCTGGCTGAGAGTGGGTCATCTTCAGATCCTGGCACTCTGCACTATGACTACATAGATGTGGATGTGACAGCCAGTGTCATTCAAGCTGCAAAGCAAACATTCTGGTAGGAGGACTTAATCAGTTAAGAACGTTTTCAAGAACCGTGGGTGTTTTCGTTTTAGAGTTGAGAAATCTGAAGTTATTAAAGGGAGAATTTCACAAGGCTGCAGTTTCTGACTTCCTGCTGGCTTCCCCATTGACTTTGCTTATGGGCAATGGCAGGGAATGTTGGAAATCGTGATCATGTGACCGCATCTTCTGTGATTTCAAAATTGCGAGCTGGGTGCTAAATGCTCAGAATACAATCCCATGACCATAAGAATACTGATGGCTGGAATTCCAAGGGCTAGTGGTAACTGTCACTTGTTTAGCACTATTGTAAGTTTGAACAGTTGCTGGATGAATAACTTGATGATTCTCTGCTGCAACCAGAGAAACGAATTAATTGCAGCAACAGGGCTAACATTAAGATATGCAGAGGACATGGAGAATTTAAGATTCTGTGATCAAGGGTGCTTCTTGATTTACCTCTGTGATACCATCTTTCTTTCTAGTGGCAGAGGAACTATGATAATGGAATTGTTTTTTACTACAGATGGAACTTCCCCATAAAACTCACTCCTCTAATCAGGGAGCAAAGAATTGCAGCCCTTGAACTTTATAATGACTTTGTCTAATCAATTAATTTAAGACTGAAACCCTTCAATAATTTATGACCCATTTAAATTCCCATTATGTTTTTCCAGTTTGTTAAAGAGAGATTGTGTTAGAAACTACAGAAGATAATAATCTTTCAATAGTAGTTTTTCAAGCAATATAATAGTATACAATATAAGAAAATGCATTGTTGTATTTAGTAACTCAAGAAAAAACTAGATACAAAAACTAATCTTGCATTTCTCTTAGGATTGCTGTACTTAAATAATTGGATTTGGTATCTGTGCCAAATAACATTTTGGAAATGTGCCTTCAAAATATAATGCTTCTGAAAGTTTAATTTTCAAATTTTGACATAGAGCTTAATAATAGTTCATGATAGTTATTTATTGTATTCAACTGGTAATTCTTATATGAGTTTTTTGAACAATGTGATTTACCCAAGGCAGCACTAAATGAGAATTTAAAATATGGATACTGAGCGAAGGGCAGTCTTCCTTAAAGAAATCATAAGTGGATTTAAACTTGTTTATCTTTCTTACCACAGATAGAAACAGGTAATGCCAATCCTAAAACATTACAAAATCCCTCAAGAATAAGGAAAACATTTAAAGTCTGCTCTGCCAGACTTCTCTTTTTTCTTTTGCCAAATGCAAGCTATATATCGTTTTTTCTTCTGAGAAAAAAGCTAAAGCCTGACTTTTATGCTGTCTCAGACTAATCACACAAAGCTCTTGGCTCCAGGAAAAGATTGCTTATGTAAAACCAAAGGGAATCTGTGCATTACTCTGCTTTATTACTGTGATTGTCCCATCTCCTATTCTGTGTGGTTTTTCTCTCTCTTTGTAGTTGTACATGATTAGAAAACCATTCCCCGATAGCACTTGAAGGAACAGATTCATTTCCATAACTATATGTTCCTCCTATTGAGCAAGCCTAAATGTTCAACTTTGTCCTTTAAATCAATTGTCTGTCTTTTGATTTAACAATTTATGTCCCTGCTCCACATACAAGTAAGTAAAAATGGAAGCTTTCTGACACCTTCAGGCTGTATTGCCATTCAGTGTGTATTCTAGAAGAAATCTCTTAAAAGGCAGAGACTTGTAAAACAATTTATAGAAAAGTGTCTTTACTTTATGAAAAGACAAATACTTCCAAAGTGAACTCAGTATTTGTTGTCCTGCTTGTATTTGTATTTCAGTTTTATGAACAGACGGGTTCTTTCTACTAATCCTTACAGAGGAAATGCTGCTAATGGCTATGCGTGTCCCAGTGGGATGGCACTTCATTATGATGATGTTCCTTGCATAAATGGATCAGTAAGAATTGATTTTTGTGTAGGTCAAAATAATTTATGTCTGTTGAACCTTCAAAAAAATTATGAAGCTTGTTAACTAAATATCTCTGGATATTATCACAAGGTTTTGTTGGGTCTCAACCAGAGAACTGAGGGAAATTAGTTCAGTATATCTGCATGTGTATGTCAGCACAAATATGTCTCTTCCTTGATTCATTAAGTTAAACCTAAACATAATAAAAAAAATAAAAGACAGGTTTTGACTAAGCATGTTCTATGGCTAAAATATGTAGTGATGGGGAAGTAATGGAAAATGTTCATGGATTTGCCTTCATGCACATTTTATCCTTTTAGCCATATACAAGTACACCTCACTTAACAACTACCCTGTTTAGTTACAATGGCGCTGAAAAGTAACTTCACAACCAGTTGTTGCATTTACAACTGCCACTGTATCCCACGATCACATGAACTCCATTTGCACGTTTTACAATTAGCTTCTGAGAAGCAGGCTCAATGGATAAGCTGGCAGTAAAATCTCCAGTCATAGTCACATGGTGACTCACCTAATGATCCACAGTGACTTGCTTAATGACTGCAATAGATGTAAAATTATACGCTGTTGCAGCACATGATGCTTCACTTAGCAACTGTACCATTGAGACAGAGTTGGGGATCCCAATTGTGGTCACTATATGAGGATTAGCTATAATTACAAATATTTCAAAAATAGGAATGACTAGGATAGATTTTTATGCATATTGGCATGAGATCATGCCTCAGTTCTTCTGTTATGGAATTATATTATAGATTTCCCAGGTGAATGCCTTTCAAACATGCTCCCAACTATCAGTGATCATTTCAGTGGAAGAATTCTGAATGATTTATGGTTCACCATATTTAGAGTGAATCTGATTGGGAAAGGCTGGTATGAAGGTTTAGGAAGATAGTTAGGAGAAACAGATTGACTATGACTGACCATGTGTATCCTATATGTGTAACTTTACCATATACCGTATTCGTTTCCCCTTTCCAATATAATTACATTTCTTACAGCACTTATCCATCCATTTTTAGGAGACAGTCAAAAAGACAAAAGTTAATTTTAAAATATCAACAATATATTGTTACATGTAGTTACCATAAATAGTGGCTGAAGTTGCTTCTGGTTGCTTTCTAACTCTGTGTTTTATATATCTCACTCTATATTTTATCTTTTAATGAATGCATTAAATCCTAAAAATTATTAGAAGCTGCATCTATTCTCAGATAATTCTTGACAAAGAAATTAATGTTACTAACATATTAATCATTCTGATACATCGATACAGGAATAAGAAGTTCTCCAACAACATGACTTGTGAGGCTACGCATATTTACTTCTTGACTTTTTTGCTTACATCCTTCTGTTAGCAATCCCCTGTAGTTATGGTTTCTTGGTTTCTAAAGGGTCCAAGATTTAAAAATTGGTCATGAATTACTGTATAAGAACCTAGTTTGAAACTCTAATTTGTAGGAACTTCTTAAATCAAAATGATAAAAGAAATCAAAAGACTGCTTTGCACCAAGACATATTAAAAAAAGAGGAGGGATGCTATATCAAAATATCCATATGGGAAAGGCCCAGATTTGCCTCTTGTTAATTTGTGGTTTCAACTCAATAGTCAGATGGTTGGCATATCTTATTGAAACTTACCTTGTAGACTATAAGATAGACAACAAATGGATATCAAGTGGCATTATTCCTCACTATCCTTTTCAGCAGTTTAGAAAACTTAAACTTGGAATTTGCAAGATTTCCATTTTGATATAGTTACTGTAAAATAAAAGCAAATTTTAGAATAAAAATACATTGGTACCTCAGTACTTGTTAACTGATTTTGGGAGATGCAACTAGTACTAAAAATGATGAGTACCAAACAAATCACAGGACTTACCATGTGACCCTTTGTTTTGGCTGGGAACAACTTCCTATCTGTCCCTTTTCCTATGCCAGTGTCCTTCCCAGCATGGCCGACTTCCTGTCCACCCTTTGCAGCTGTTGCCTGCTTATTTTTGAGCAACCTTCCTACCATGACCAATTTCCTGTCCATTCTCCATGGATGTGCCCCTCTTCCTATTGCAGTGTGTTGAGTACCAAACAAATGACAAATAATGCAGTAACATTTTCGCATCAAAATGCGAAGTTTTTAAGCAGTCGAGTATCGAAGTACCACTGTGTAGAACCAAGAAGGAACTCTTGTTGAGGGTTGGGAGGGGTTTCTTAATTACTCAGTTAACTTTCTAATTATTTCATATTTTTCAGTGCATGAAGTTATGCTAATTTACTAAGTATGTGTATTGCAGTGGGAACCAGAAGATGGCTTTCCTACTTCTTCTAGCAAAAACACAGGAGAAGATGGGCTTTATGATAACTTGGGCCTGTATGATAATTTGCCATCCCCAAAAATTTTTGCACGTTGTCCACCAGCAGAGCGAAAAGCCAATAGGTTATCTACTGACAAATTGTCATCTAATCATTACAAACATCCTGTCTCATCCAGTCTGTCTTCTGCTCAGTCTGTCACTAATACCTCTGCTGTGGGGAGGGGATCTGTTGCACAGGTACTAAAATGCTTAATTCTTTAATCATACTTCTGTTCTTGCTTTTGTGTAATGATCATTAAATTCTTACAGTCAGTTAAAGCTAAATAATATATCAGATAAATTGTTTAGAAACACTGGATATGAGAATAACATCTTAGAAACCTATGCATTTTTCTTTTTAAAATTCTTAGCTTAACTTAGCTTGTTCCAACCTGACCACACTAACCCTACAGCAACATTTCTGAAAGGCATCGATTTAAATAAACTCTCTTGGATTTTACATATTAGCAATAACATTACTTCAACAGCTGAAATTAAGTCCTTGGTACTGGCCAACTTCACAGTGTCTATCTGTGTGCAGTTATGTGTGTATGAGTAATTGAATATACTGTACTGCAGTTAGTGCATTGAGTATGGATCATTATTGTGACTTGGGTAATTCCTACTGTTCTGTGCCTTGCAGATGGTCCTGCTTTATTCTAAAAGAAGCAAATTGACTTACTTGAACACAAAATTGTTTCAAGTAAATATGCTTCATTCAATTTTGTGTTCACTTTCAAATCTTTGGGAATGTGATCGTTCCAAAGCTTAAAACATTCTGCAAACTTATTTCACATTCAGAAATATTAGAGTGATGATCCCAAAAGTAATGGGAGGATGGGAGAAGTTTTTGACAAGTTGGCCATATACTTGTGCCCTGTTATAGTTTTAGGTTTTACAGCTTTTTCATTTTGGAAATGGAACAGTCATTCCTCTGCAGTCAGTGATCATTCTATTGTATGCTGTATATTTAGAAAACCAACCTGAAAATTGCCCAAAAGATTTGTTCTAAGAATAAGAAATGTAACATCTGCTAAAATGTAAAATAATAGTGAAATGAATTGCTGGAGGAATCTTTTTTTATCAGTTCATAATGCTGATAAAATGCAAAATAATGCAAAATAATGATTGTTGCTTGTTTCAAAAGAACTTTATGCAACATTGTTCCAAAAGTGTTTTTTATTGAAGCGAGTAATTGAAAATACTGAAAAATTAGATGAACACAGATATTGCCTCCTTCAATCATTTTAATGACTCACAAAAGCCAATGTTATTCTGAGGCAAAATAATATAAAATATAAATCAAACATTCCCTCACATTTCAACTTTCCATATTTGAACCATAAACAACTTGTAAATAATAAATAATGTAATTCTAAATTATTTGGATTTATTATTTACAAGTTGTTCTGCTCTTATCAAATTAAGAACAGATGTCTTTTCACTCTTTGCAAAATGTTCCATTGTCCCAGTCATTACAACTTGGTTCTGAACATTTTGCAGTTCTAATAAAGGCTGATGTTAATTTAAGATTTTATTGCCAGTTTCCTAGCCACTTAGAGATTGGCCTAAGTTTTCTGAAGCTTCTGGGCACATCTTTTGGTGATTATTTTGTGATGTGGCCCCTTCTCAAACTTTTTTTTATCTTGTCTCATCCCTTATATACAAGTAGTCCTCAACTTATGACCACAATTGAGGTCAAAATTTCTGTTGCTAAGTGAAACATTTGTTAAGCAAATTTTATGACTTTCCTTGCCACAGTTGTTAAGTGAATCACTGTAGTTATTATGTTAGTGACATGATTTTTAAAGTGAATCTGGCTTCCCTGTTGAATTTGCTTGTAAGAAGGATAGTGCAACCGTCATAAATACGAGTCAGTTGCCAAGTGTCCAAATTTTGATCAATGACCATGGGAATGCTGCAACAGTCATAAGTCTGAAAAACAGTCAGAAGTCACTTTTTTCAGTGCCGTTCTAACTTTGAACAATCACTAAATGAATTGTTGTAAGTCGAGGACTACCTGTATTTTCAAAAAGCACAATGGATGCCTTTGGTTGCTTCAGAAGCATGGTTTTCTAACTACCTTGATTTTAAACTTTTAACCAAAATTTGCCTCTTTTTGTTCCCATTATTGTAAAACAACTGTACTTAATGTTTAGCAATAAATGCATTCTGGATTTTCCATACAGTTTAAAGGAAAGAAAATGCCAGTAGCTGCAAATGGGATTTCAGGAAAAGGGAGAACCTTAAGTAATTCACCAAAAAAATCAGAATTTGCTTCAAATGTGAAACGTAGCAGTTCTAGTGAGTATTATTTATTTCTTCCTGCTTTGAAATATCTTATTCTTTTAAACTGTCTGAAGTTACCAAGTAAAATAATTCTTTGCTCATGATAGGTAAGTATTTATCTACTGTCTTTATTTATTTATCTATTATCCAAATCTTCGTTAAAATATTTCATTGTAACTGGACATTCGAGCAAGTGGGATGCCTACATTTCACCTAGTCTTTCATTCTGATGTACGTTTCCTAGTTCAGATATATTATAATCAAACATTTGTCCAGATGCAGATCAGTACAAATATGGAAAGAATCGTGTTGAAGCAGATGCAAAGAGATTACAAACAAAAGAGGAGGAACTATTAAGGAAAAAAGAAATCCTGAGAAATCACCTGGCTCAGTTACGAAAAGAAAGGAAAGACCTCCGAGCAGCTCTTGAAATGAATCCTGGTATGCTAGGCACTTCTTTTTGTTTATAATCAAAGTATAAGGAAATAATGTCTCCAGCATCAGAAGTATCTTTCTAAAGTTAGTTTTATATGAAAAGAAACAAGCTTAGAAACAGAGTCGTTATACAGAGGAAGTCCCTTCCTGTTTATAACTTAAGGGAATTTTCATTACAAAGATGACCCAATCCAGGGACTACTACTCCATGCCAAGTTTCTGTCCCTTGGTAATATTCAATTACATTTGAGTATGCTGCTGAAATAATGAGACATTGTGTTTCCATATTCTTTTCAATGACAGCGAATATTATGAAGAGGGTGGCAGAGATTCTTATTTGTTTCTTTGTTTTACAGCAGTTGTGTTGTAGTTGTGTATATGATGTTTCAGAAGAGGAGGCAACTGTTCTAGCATTAAGGTGCCACTTTCAAGGTAGTTCTGTGTTATAGATAGCATCATTTTTATACTATTTTATTTGCCAAACTGGATCATTTCAATGAAGTTTAATGTTAAAGACATTAATATACTGTTGAATAACCATAGCACTAGATATAACCTTCTTCGACAATAATTTGCTGATTATTACAATTATTGCATTTTAATTATGGAATATTTTATCTAACCAGAGTGGTTATAACAATTATAAGTAAAAAAGCAACCAAACAAAACTTGGCTACATTAATGTCAGATCACATTACAATAATTTGTATTTGATGATGATGATGGCTCACTTCTGAAGCTGCCTGCTGTGAAATGTCTTCACTTTCCAACTTCTCAGTCCTTGGTTTAAGAACAGAGTGTGCAATTTTATCACAGCCTCAAAGATCCTCTCTCTCTCTCCTCTGCATTTCAGGTAGGAAATCCGTAATAATTCTTGAAGAGAAATTAAAGAAGTTGGAAGAAGAGTGCAAGTTGAAAGAGTCTGAGCGTGTCTCTCTGGAACTAGAGTTGACAGAAGTGAAAGAGAATTTGAAAAAGGCTTTGGCTGGAGGCATCACACTAGGATTGGCAATTGAGCCTAAATCACAGAGTTTAACTGCGCAGGTACTTTAATTTAATTTAATTTAAACTTAAATAGATTCTACTATAAAATACGTTTTATAAATCATTTAAGTATTTCACTATTTTTAAGTAATTTTCATGCTCCACATATGAGATTCAGCACTCTACTCTCATTTGTTTTCACACTTTTACTTGTTTAGATCTGTTGCAACCTGGGGGATTACTATGCCATCTGAGGGTTACCTTGGCCTTAAGGTAGCATTTTGAGCCACCACAGTTGACAGGATTGTATGAAAACATGGATGGAGATAAGGCAAAATGTATTTTAAAAATTAAACACATCTGAAATTCTGGAACTTCTAACTCAAACATACAGCCTGTTTGTACACTTGCCTCTGTAGTTGAAGATTGAACGGTAGTCAGTGTCATTAATTTTTTAGAAGGAATCACAGAGAAATTCAGAAAATCATTGATCCGTTAATGTCTCTTCTGAGGTATTTTATCTTTAACAGCAGTAGAGACTGCGGTTAAAGATAAAATTAGCAAACATTTGGAGACAAAGGCCTGGGTTCACTAAAGGAAGGTCCTATCTTAGCTAATCAAAAGTATAATCTGTCATAATCAAAAGTAAACAAGTACTTGAGGGAATTGATAAGCATGTAGATAAGAGCAAACCACTAGACATCAACTGCTTGGTGTTTCAAAAAGTGTTTGATAAAGTCTAAAATGAAAGCCCTCACATTAAGCTTAACAGCCATGGCATAAAAAGGCAGGTTCTCTTATGGGTAAGCAACCTGATAAAGAATAGCAAAGTGTAACAACTTAACAGTAGGAGTAAATGGACATTGCTCACAATGGAGGGATAAAATCAGTGGGGTCCTCCTAGGGCCAGTGCTTTTTATAAATGATCTGGATCAGCCATGTTTGCTGATGAGATATATATGCTGCTCCTAAATTTCAAGTTATATGGCTCTAAAATTATTAACTCATTTAAAGGATTTCAGAGATTCCTGACTCTGTATCTGCCAATCTTACACTGTTGCCTTGTTCTTTCAAACTAATCTTCACATTTGTCTAATAGGACAATATCCTCTTCTCAGAGAGCCAGGATAGTTTAACTGCTGATACAACTATTAACACTTCTTGATAGCTGTGGTTTCAGGTCGTTTTCTATTTATTATTTAGTCCCCAGTTCTAAAGCATCAGACTCTGGAGAATTCACCCATCTCCAGTTGTGATACAAGTGATACAGAATGTTCTATGCCTGTGAATAGTGCAATTGTCTTGAAAAGACATTCCTCTTCAAGCACCTCTCCATGCCGAGGACACGTGCTTCAGAAGGCAAAGGTGAGATTCACATGGTTGTTACATATTCTTCTACTATTACTGAGTGGCTTGGTTTATTTATCCTTTCTTCATAGTAGAGAAGCCAGTTTGCTATCTTGCTTTGCTTTGAAAGAAGATACTGTTGCTCAGAAAAAAAAAAGCCCTTGGTAATATTACCCTTTAAAAGTTTGTTCTTTTAGTTCGAGTGAGAGAAAAGTGTGGAAAAATAGTTCTCCAGTTGCAATATGAGTCTGTAAAAAATACTTGGATTTTCTGCATGTTCACTTAGCTTTGACATGAATGTTAACAGAATATTGAGTCTTACATATAAAGAAAGTCTATTAAAACAAATGACACTAAAGTTTGGTTCTTGCTTCATTATTTCATAAACAGATTCATCCAACTTACAGTATGTGAGGAGAAAAATGTAATAATCGCCCTATTTCATTCAATTCAATAAAAGAACCTGGGGCTATTTGTTCAACAATAAAAGCTTATTTGGACCAGCCCTGCCTCACATAAACTTCAAACATTGACTTCCCTTATTATGGTAAAAAATATAGTTAGTACATGTTGTCCTGTGCCTGACTTGCTATTTTTCTTTCCCCACCCACTTGCAAAGATGAGTTTGGGAAGAATTAAAAAAGAATAAGCAGGCACATCATAGGAAATGCACAATGAAAAAAAAAAATGTGGTAGCATCAGCAGCCCTAAGCATGCTATACAAATAGTCCAGTGCATTCCCCATAGTGTGCCTGCTTATTCTCTTCCTGTTAATTATCCTCTGCTGGGGAGAGCATTCCAAAAGGAGAAGCAGAAAAAAGCTGAAGGTGCAAAACTGATTAGACTTGTCAGTTTTAAGCTGGCTATTCCAGCCCTTAGCCTAAGGTGAAGATCCCAAAGGGCAAGGGAGTGGGAAGAGGAAAGCACAGTTGTCGTCTTGTGATTTCCCAAGACCATTTCACTTAATGACAGAATTGTTGGTTCCAATTGTGGTTGCTAAGTGAGGACTATCTGCTTAACAGTTCTTTTCCATCTTAATAAGATATCCATGTTTAACTTCTTCCTGATTCAACTCCTAGTTGCAATATTTTATTGAAATCATACATTATACAAGTTCTGATTTCTTTTCTTTTGAGTCAGAAAGATTCTGAGGCTCTACAATGGGGCATCTAAGCTTTGCTGGATAGTCATGCTGGATGGGCAATTATAGTAGCCCACACCCTTAGAAGTTGTGAAGATTGGGATTTCCTTCTGGAATTGTCTTGTTTTTTAATCCAATCATATACAATAATTTTTTTCTAGGTTGATACATAATATTTGACTCAGCTGATATGAATAGATGTGTATTTGTAATTATATTTACATTTTCTTTTTCATTCTTTCTAGGAGTGGGAGATGAAAAATGGAACATAAAGAAGTACAATTACTATTAGAATTCTGCTTTGGGACTCTTGACTCAAGATGGACTAAGGAAGATTAATCTGCACAGGGGTATTAATGGGTTGTCAATTCTGTTAGTGAATGGTCAGTATGCTTAATACAGCTTAAAAGGGGGGACCTTTTTGAATGTGTCATTTCAAATGCAGTGATTATTTACTCACTTAAAATATGAAAAGAACAGTTTAAATGATTACGTAGATGGATCAGGTAAAACTAGCACTAGCAATTGTGTTGGATGGAAATGGAGATTGGCATGTTTCAGTACCCATTTGGAATAGTTTTAGATACGTTTTAATTATTAGATATGAAATCTAATCTTGACTCCCTAAAACCTTGCTGTTTGAATGTGGGGATTCACAGGCTTATACTATTAATTCCAGGCGTATGAATTTTATACAAGAGAAGAATGGAAAGCTGCAGTCTTTGCAGAAATTACACAACTGCTGTTTTCCATGGTGACTAGAGATCAGAGAAGGAGTAGATTCTCATCTAGGAAGGGAGATTAGAGCAAAGAGAAAGACATCTTCCAAACCCAAGTAATAATACCGGTCTGTTTTAAACTTTTTTAAAAGATGTATTTATTTGCTAGCTTGTTTTAAATGTTTTACGGATTTTATTTTATTTTCAAAAATTAATTTTTTGAAGCAATGGGTGCCACTTTATACATACAAAAAAGCTCCACAAAATAAAAACTGATGTTTTGAAGCAAATTTATGAATCAGAATAACAAATAAGCCATCATTGTATTCTAAAACCTTTCAAAACAAAAGATAAATTTGGATTAAGAAATCCAAAATACTACCCCAAAATATTTAAGTTTGTTGATTTTAAATTAAAAATCCTTAAAACTGCTTTTGTTCTCTAATAAAAGTAGCAATGAATGTCTCCCCCAAAAATGAAATGGCAGTGTTATTTCTAAAATCTGTTGTCTATTAAAAAGAGACAGAGTATTGTAATGCAATAATGTAAAATTTGTTTTAAAAAGGCATTCTTTTCCTGTTGTAACTGTGGTTTAGGACACAAATCTGAATTGTGAGTTAGGAAGCGCCCAACTGGGAAGCATTAGGGAATCCAGGATGGCTCCGTATCTTAATTTCCAAACACCATCTTCAGCACAGGGATAATGGTAACACCACTGTTGCAGGTGTACCGAGAGTATTTGTGAAGTACTTATAATGCTTGAGATGGTCTGTACCTTTTCATTATTCTTTCCATCTTCAAAGAAAAAGTAAAATGTCTCTTCAGGTTGAGTTCCACTATTCCCTTCTGGGCATATGGGCTGCTCCAATATCATCTGGCATAGGATGCAACACAGCTGGACAGGGAAATCCTCCATTGGATAGTAAATAGATTTGCAATGCTTTTCCATCCCTTTCTCCCCTTTTCATTTCTGTTTCTTACCCAAGAGTTTTGACAACAATCATAGCTGGAGAGGCTCAGTGTTTTCTCCTTTGTTCGCCTCCCTGTCACATTGAAGTAGAAAGTCCTTACAAGAAGTTGCTGCTGATAGGAAGTTCTGAGTAAGTGACAAAATAGCCAGAGTCGGCTCTGTGCCATCTGTTTCTCCAACTCTCTCTCTTGTGTTTGAGTTAGAGTAGATAGAAACTTTCAAAATGGCAGGACCCACAACTAACATTACTTGTAGAACAGAGACCAAGGCATTCTAAACTAGTGACTATTTCTTTATGCACCTGTGCCTTTTATAACACAAGAGACAACTTGAAGAGTCTAAGTCTAAAATGCATTTAATTTAAAAGCACCTAGCTTTTTGCTAACCAGAAAGCCAGGAAGAAAGAATTGTGGTGTGAGAGAACTGCTTGGGGAAGGCAGAATGCTTTGAGCATCAATCCCTTTTTATTGTTTAATCTCCAATTCTGCATTTGGATACGGCATTTATTCTTTTTATGCCTGTGTTCTTCACGTCCACAAACCGCAGGTCATAGTACAAGTAAAGCCACAGCTTGGGGATGGAGGTAGCTTTTTAAAAAAATCCTGGAATGATCTTGCTAAGTCTCTAATAAGTTGCTTTTTTTTTTTTTTAATGCTGAGATACCTGTTCTCTAGAATTCTCTCCTCCTCTGCCTGGTATTGGGTTTATTAAGCTTTTGCTGAAAACCTACAATTGCATTCAGGCCTCTGCTGTACAAATACAGTTATTCTTTAGATGATTATTTTTAATTTATTATAATTTAATGTGGAGAGCTACCTTGGTGTAGGGGTTAAGACATCAGACTATGAACTGGGAGACTGTGAATTTTATTTTGCCTTGGGCACAAAGCCTTGGGCCAGTAACTCTCCAATGACTGACCTTGGGCCCGTCACACTCTCAGCATTAAGAAGGAAGCCGTGTCCAAACACTTCTGAAAAACCTTGCTAAGGAAACTGTCCATGCAATTACCAGGAGTCAAAAAATGACTCAAAGGCACCCAAGCTATTTTGAGAAAATTGCATGGGGAAACAGCACGCAGTTAAAATAAACCAATACTGGTCTGTCATGAAATTCATCTGCCTGAATTTAGGAAAAAAGCATATTAAAATGTCCTTTGGGTGATAAACACCATATCTGAGAAGATTCATCTTGCCTTTGGTGACTTTTATCAAGGATTGATGTCTGCATTTAAGTTCCAGATGTTACACACATCCATAAATTATTGTAGCTTCCAATAATGCTCATGGGAAGTTTAGAAATATTACAGATCTTTACATGTCTTGATGATAGATTGACTTTTTCATTTTCTACAAGAAAGGCTGTGGCAGGAAGATGAATTAGCAGCTGATGGTTGGGAGTCCAGTCATAATCAAAAGTAAACAATTTTCCACAGTTGTAGGGACAATTGATTTCATGCTCATCAGTTACCTCAAATTGTTTGCTCACACAAAGAATGAGATCAACATGGATACACAGCGCAGTGTCAATAGGTATGGTGTGCTCATACATCACTTCTTTGGTATCACATTTCCTTGAAGATTTAATTTATATAGATACATTTAATTTTAAATAGCATGTGCCCAGCTTTATTCCCAAAAATGTATGTGGGCTTTATATGTTCAGCATCTGACTGAAAAATCCATCCAAAGTGCAACGCTGCTTACTCAAATCTTCTTGAATCTTCGGAGCAGGCTAGAGGTAATTCCCAGTGAATCCTGTTTTATTTGTTTTATCGAAAAATTGAGAGTAGCGCTGTGCTTGGAAAGGAATTGGCCTAGAAAACAGCCTATATTTGTGTGTGCCGGTGGGGAACTCTATATGCAATTGGTTGTAGCACTGTCTTCTCGTTTATGCCAGAAAGATAAAAGGGGATAAGCATTCCATAAATAGGGTATATTTTTGAAGCCCTGAATTTACATGTTTGATAATACAATTTTTCCACTGCTGCTGCTTCTAATAGTTGTCTGGATATTTTGTCTATTTGACAGGGTTGGCAAAGTGCAGTGTGCTGAAATACCTTCAATAGCCCATTGATCTTTACTGAAAGGAAGTTTTAAACAAAAGTTATTTTTGTTTAGGCAAATTATTTGAAACTAACTTATTTATATGTTTGAATAAATGTTTAATTTATAGATGTACATATTTATTAATCTAGATCTAGTTCTAATCAACAAAGGTTTAGTAAGGAAGTGATTTCTTTTATGGTGTCTACCACATACAGCATAACAAAGAGAATAATTACCGTGTTTCTCCAAAAATATGACTTACCCCCCCCCAAAAAGCCCTAGCCCATTTTTCAAACCTGCACGTAACATAAGCCCTAGCTCCCAAAATAAACCCTAGTTAAGTCCTGCCACCATCTAGCAGTGTGAGGTGGGGCAAGACGCAAGCTAAGGCAGGGGTGGGGTGGAGCTGCCCCATGTGCCCTGCACCCTGTTACCCTTAGGACTGCTGTAGCCAGGCCTCCCACGCCACGACACCTTTCGTGCTGCTCTCCAACTTCTTTGGCCACTCACAGCTGGTTGCTAAGTGGCACATCACACTGGTGCTGCTGCTTGTGACAGAACACCACAAGTCTCATCATGCCAGTGCCGCTGTTCACCATAGCCACGAGGTTCGTTCCACTGGTGCTGCCTCTCACAAGCACAGTGGCGCAATGCATCATGCAGCCTGCCATGAGTGGCGTGATGAGCCTCATGACATCCTCCCATGAGTGGCACCATTGGCACGAAGAGCCACGTGGCCTGCAGTTGCTGGTGGCTGCAGAAGAAGTCGGGCAACGGCGTGACAGGTGTCAGCATGGGAGGTGTGGTTGCGGTGGTCCTAAGATAAATAGGTAAGACATTCTTGGAAAATAAGACCTGGTGCTTATTTGGGGGCCAAAAAGGAAATAAGACCGGGTCTTTATTTTCAGGGAAACACGGTAGAATAATTTTATCAGATATGTGCAATTTTATCTTTATGAATATTATTTTGAGCATAGGGCGCATTTTGAATGGTAGTTGTTATCATTTCATCCTTTTTAAGGTGGCAACACCATGGCTGTGGACCTGTCACTCTCCAGATGTTGCTGACCCACAGTTCTCAGCAACTCTAGCCAGCTGTGTTAGTTTTTTTAGTTCAGTAGCATCGGAAGACAAAGGATTCCCTAGGCCTGCACTAAATTTAACACCAAGGTTGACAGACCCAGCATGAGAGATGAGCCTGTTAGCTCCAGTGGCCTTACTCGAGAACAGTTGCATGCATTTTAAAGATACCTTGATTTTCACTTTTTGTAATCATATTTAATGCTCTTGCTTGCCTAAGCATTTCCAGAAGACCTTTGGAATTGAATTAAATTTGCAATCTAGTTTGTCTTCCTTTGCTGTATTGCTTGTTTGGTTTCAATTTTATCAGTGTTTACACTTTGTTGTTCTAAGAAATTAACGTAAGACATTTTGGAATATGCTTATTGAAGAGGAATTAGCACAGAACATTTTAATTTTGAGACCAGAGAAACAATGTAGCATCTTCTAGGGATAAAGGTATGGTGTATACATAAAATATATTTCACTGGTCCATTCTTTTTTTCCCATCATGCATTTCATTATCCTTTTGCAGGCTTTTGTTCATAAATAGGAAAGCTTTATGAACTCATTCTACAGGCTGCCTTGTTAACAGTGCTCCCAGCAATTTTTAAAAGGTTTTATATACATTTCTACAATACTGTACAGGGACATTTTACAGATTTACATTACAATGGAATTGTTTAAATTTTTGTTAAGAAGTCATATTTGGTGTCCATAGGATTGGAATATGAGTATAATTTCAATGTATTTGGGGAATGGGCAGTTTTTCTAAAAAAAACTATATTTGCAACATTTTAATACTAATTTTATATCAGTCTTCAAATATTACTTACTGCACCTACCAATTAATCTGAATTGTCTAATCCAAAGTATTCATATATTAAAACTGTAATTTCCTACTGTATTTTTAAATGAAAATTTCAGTTCCCCAATCAGGCAAAACATCAACAAGAGGAAGCCTTTTCTCTATATTTATTTTATGTCTCCTGTTGTATTTTATTGTACTGCTTAATGATTTTCCTGTGTTTCACAATGTTCAGCTGTTAGAAATTAAATACTGAATTAAACCTGCAGTTTAACTTTGGAAAAAATAACACCTTTATAAATAAATTCCAAATTGAAAAAAAATGCCCACACGAAACTTAGGCCTCATTAGCTATGATTTAATTATTCTTACCTTCTGTCCCCAAATGTTATGACAGGCACCTTTTTGGTGTAACATATACTTCTTATTAATAAAGAAAAATTAACGTTTGTTTTTCAGAATTCTTTTTCTAACATTTTGCACAAGTTCTTAATGCTTGATGTGCTATGAAAATGTTTTATGTTAACTGGGCTATTTATACTATTACGTTTTATGTTAACTGGGCTGCTATTTTATGTCATCTGGGCTAGTACTCTTCAATATCTTCATTAACGACTTAGATGAGGGAATAGAAGGGGAACTTACCTAATTTGCAGATGATACTAAGCTGGCAGGAATGGCTAACACCCAAGAAGATAGGCTCAAGATCCAGATGGATCTTGACAGGCTCGAACGCTGGGCCGTATCTAACAAAATTAAATTCAATGTAGAGAAAAAAGTTCTCCACTTAGGCAAGAAAAAACAAAAGTACACCTTATAAACTAGGTGAAACCAGGCTCATAGCAGTAACTGTGAGAGGGATCTTGGAGTCTTAGTGGGCAACCAGCTAAATATGAGCCAGCAGTGTGCAGCAGCAGCCAAAAAAGCTAATGCAATCCTAGGTTGCATTAACAGAAGGATACAATTGAGATCAAGTGAGCTACTAACACCACTCTACAAAGCCTTAGTAAGACCACACCTAGAGTACTGCATCCATTTTTGGTCACCACGCTATAAAAAAGACGTTGAGTACTCCAGAACAGGAGTTGCCAACCTTTTGGACCTCAGGGCCCACCAAACTCATAATTTTAGATCCCAGGGACCACTAACTGGTTCTGTGGGTGTGGCCTAATTTGTGGGTGTGGCTTGGTGGTCATGACTGGCTGGGCATGGCTTGTATGTGAATATTATAAATATTTATATAAATATTGAATTTTTTATAAAAAAAGAGCAACTTTTACCCAAAATCAGGCAAAGCAGGCACGCAGATTGAGTTGCTCACAGAATCACAGATTCATTCAGAGATCTATCTGCCATTGGCTAGCTCAGTCTGTCACATAAAATTTGCTTGCAAGCAAACTCATAAAATTAACTCACAACACACCATGCATGTAAACATTGAATTTTTTATTTTAAAAAGAGCAACTTTTACCCAAAATCAGGCAAAGCAGGCAGGCAAATTTGCTCACAGAATCATTCAGTGATCTATCTATCTGCCATTGGCTAGCTCAGTCTCTCAAATTTCCTTGCCATGAGTCTGTACTGAATTTGCTTGTAAGCAAACCTTCAGTCCTAAGGGAGGTTCGGCTGTGCTTAAAAGCAGAGCCGAAGATATAA